ATTAGATTTTCCGTGAATAATAACAATGTGATGAGGTTTCTTGACATATTTTGTTTAAATATTGTCTTTTATTATTCTTTGTATAATTTCTAAGCATATATAACAAAACATGTAAAATATAAAACATTAATCCTTGATTACTCTAAAAACTAAATTTTATCTAAGTATTTGAACTGTATCTTTTATCCAGTTCGNTTAATAGATTTATTTTAATACATTCTATATTTGAAATGTTGACTAATTTTTTTAATATTCCAATTAAAATGAATGATTAAAACACTGTCATAAAAATCTAAAAAAAATAAACAACAACAACAAAAACAAATGGTCCTCTCTTCTCAGGCAGCCTCATAACAAGCTTGAGTTTGAGTGCCTGCTGGGTAACCTTTTACTTCACTGGACTTAACTCCTCGAGGCCATGGTTATGTCTAATTGTGTAGTCTCAACTCCTGGGGCAGTGCTTTTTAAACAATGGCTCTTAAATGGGAGGATGGTGAATTACTTTTATCAGGTCATTTCTCTGATGCTTGTTAGTCTGACTCTGCCGTATCTCACATTATAGAATCAGTACTACTCTGGGTACTAAGAAATTTTCTTGGATATTTGAAAGGGCAAGTGTTGTTTCAACTGCACTCTGGTCTGACCTGCAGTGCTAGTTCCCTGGAGCATTTCAGTGTATGGGAATACTTAAAAACTGGCAGCCCCTTGACATTTCTAGGACTAATGAGTTCTAGGCATTACAGTACATAGACACAGATGAACTTCACGTTGGTTCTGGCATACACAATTATGCATGCCTTATTTATGGATCATCTCCCAGCATCTTAGTTTGAGTTTCTATTGTGGTGAAGAAGTATCTAGACTACAGCAACTCTTATATAGGAAAACATTTAATTTGCTGGCTTACAGTTCAGAGGTTCAGTCCATTATCGCAGTGGCATGCAGGCAAATATGATGCTGGAGAAGGACCTGAGAGTTCGACAACTTGATCCATAGGCAGCAGAAACGACTGTGTACTGGGAGTAGCTTGAGCATATAAGTGGCACACTTCCTCCAACAAGGTCACACCCATTCCGGCAAGGCCATACCTCCTAATAGTGCCACTCCCTATGGGCAAAACATTTAAACTCATGAGTCTATAGGGGCCATAACTATTCAAACCATGACACTGGCCTTTGTCTTTGTGGTTCCCTCCTTGCCCTCTGTCATACCTTCAGAATCAACTGTCTCAGCTGTCCTTTGTTATGGTTCCATAGTTGGGTTTTCATGAGACTCTGACTTGTAATGTGATTGTTTAACTCTTGTCAGCCTGGATAGGCTCTACCTTTCACAAAGGCATATCTGTTGATCTCACCACAGTATCCCCAGAACTTAACCAAGGTACATACTGTGTTCCACATAAACTGAAGGAGCCAGTAAACTGTGATAAACTCTGGACATGAGATTCCATTTTCTCATCTGTTTAAAGTCTATATGTTAGTCTTTAACAAGGTCATTGCGGTTCATACTTGTTAAAGATCTATGAGTTAACTTTTCATAACTTTTTATTCAAAATTAATATTTACATTCATGTTTGGCAATTCGGGTGGTACAAAATGAAGGCATATTCAGTCCTTTACATGAGATAATAAACATTAAACATTCTTTACCTTCACTTCTAATATAAGAGGTGAACAAGACACAATAACCCAGAGTTGTTTGGGTCAGTAATGGGGTAGGGTCATTTCCCTTGCCCCCGGTTGCCAAGAATCAGCATCCATAGTTCAGTTTTAGAAAATTTAACATGTCTTAATGTAGAGCTTCCATAGAAATCTCCATGCTGAGGATAGCTGGAGCCAACTGGCCTTAGGCTAAAGTTCATTATGACCATGCTTATTTATAGGTGCTATATGGAGAGGTTTTATTATTCTTGGTGGGCCATTCAATGTCTGCTTTATTGGACATGAGGCACACTTTCAGGGATTATTTAATGGAATAGTAGTCGGGCAAGAATAATCTGGAGATATATGATCTTATAAACATTTTAATAAATTTATATGTTTAAGATGGGCTGGAAAGATTGTTCTATGGATAACAGTACTTGATACTTATTGTAGGAAGAAGACTGCTTATTCATATCCTAGCTGTAGACTCCCAAAATAATCACACAAAAACTGTATTATTTAAAACACTGCTTGGCCCATTAGCTCTAGCTTCTTATTGGCTAACTCTTACATCTTAATTTAACCCATCTCCATTAATTTGTGCATCACCATGAGGTCATGGCTGACCAGCAAAGTTTCAGCGTGTCTGTCTTCATAGGCAGCTCCATGGCTTCTCTTTAAACTGTGCCTTCCTTCTCCCAACATTCAGTTTAGTTTTCCCTGCCTAGCTAAGTTCTGCCCTGCTATAGGTCCAAAGCAGTCCTTTATTAAGGGATTCACAGCTGACAGAGGGGAATCCCGCATCAGGGACTCTTGCAGAGTATCCTGGTTCACTTTTAAACACACCTTTGGTGATTCATAACATCTATAATTCTAGTTTCCAGGGAACATGATATTCTTTTCTGACTGCCCACTGGACACCAGACATACACATAATACATATACTGACATGTAGGTAAATACTCAGACAAATAAAATAAGTGATAAAACTCTTTTAAAATTTAATTTTTGCATAAAGATTTTCACCACAAAAGGGATGTTTATTTACAGAATTTGTTTCCGCTACTGGTTTGACTTGGGTGAGAAAAATGATTGCACAATTGTGAACTTACTGAATTTGAGTAGAGATTTGTACATTTCTACCATCACACTGTGAAGGTAGAATTATCTCATATGAGCACTTTATTCCCCAACAAATTTTAATCTCAATAAAAAAATTTTCTCTACTAATTTAACTATTTTGAAAAATCTATCTTTGTATATGTTCTAGTTTTTTATCCCAAAGAGAATGTGAAAGGTTATTACAGTGTGTGTGTGTGTGTGTGCATGCTGTTGGGAGGCACACCTGATTGCTGCCTAAGAATGCTTAGAAATAAGTAAGTTCATATGGCTTTGTTTGAAAAGTCAGTGTGCTAAAACTGTGGTCTTCTATCTGTAAGTCACCATAGTTTGACTATAGTATTAGTTGAGGTCTAGGGGTAAGTGATTTTGGTCATGGTCATCAGGTAGTAACAGAGTCATCCTATCATCCCCTTTAATGGGAGTATGAGTGGGAGAAGAGCAGTAACAGGTTTTTGCTGCTGTTTCATAGCTTCCAAAGTGGCTCAGGGCTAGGCATTAGAGACAGAGTAGAGGCCCACATTATAGAGTTTTCCCAGCTTCATGACAGTCACAACTATTTACTAACAATGGCTTGGTTAGGCAGCTTGTTCCAGATGGAATCCTTGAGCTGCAAATTCTATGAATTCAAATGTGAAGAGATTTAAGTGAACTTCAATGATAAATGCCTATTTTTAATACTATCATGATGTTACAAGCTAAGTAATGGAACAGTACTCAATACCATGCATGCATTGACATGCTCAGGAGCCACCCACTGCTGGGGTGATTTTCTTGCAGGACTCCACCTCCCCCATGCATTCCAAAAGAGGGCTATTTATTAAGTCTTATGCTCCAAGGAGGAGCCAATATGACACAGCAATATTCTTTCTATACCCCTGTCTCCCATCTTTTTTTTCTTATATAGCATTACAAGGACAATTGTTATTCATGTTATATATTTGTTTCTTCTATTTTTAATGTAGAGATAGATAGATAGATAGATGATAGATAGATAGATAGATAGATAGATAGATAGATAGATAGATAGATAGATAGATAGATGAATGGATGATAGTTACTGGTAGCTGTGATATAATACCTGAAAGAATTTTATAAAGAAAGCATGGTTTATTTTAGCTCATAGTTTCATGGATACAGTTCATCCCCTAACCATGCCATCCTAATGGCCCACTTTCTCCAACTAGGCTCTATTTCTAAAAGTTCTCTCAAAAAAAGCACTAGTTGGAGACCAAGTATTTAAACACACATGGAGCTTCTTTCACACTCAAACTATGTCCCTATTAGAAATAAAGGGCTAGTAATTTTGTTAACATTTATAATGTGGCAAAAATTTTCCATAATTATTGCAAGTACTTATAAAACTTGCAAAATAGACATTAAAACCCACTTTACGTATATGAAAAACTAAGGCTTAAAGTCACAATGCTAGTAAATAACAGCGCTAGCTAGGATTTAAACAGGGTTTAAAAAGAGCTCTAACAAGTGCCAAAGTTCATGTTCTTTTTAAAAATAATATTAACAGGTATAACAAAGATTACCGAACAGTTATGTATATAAACTTGTAAAGTAATTGTTATCTATTGAAGAAAAGTTGTGCGTGGAAACTAAAGATCAGAATCTTTAAGTTAATATTATGTAGCGCATTACAGACTCTGAGCCCTTTTGATCTGGTCACAGACGTTGGCCGGCAATACCTATTGGGATTTGTGAACGTGTACTACGAGCTAAGTGAAATCAAGGTGGAAAGTTAAGGGAAGTGTGGAGAAGAAAAGTTGAGGATGATTTTAAGTGGGTGTCTTAGGTAGGGTTTTCTTGCTGTGATGTAACATCAATACCAAAAGCAAGTTGGGGAGGTAATGGTTTGTTTATTAACCTTAGCTTCAGCATTGCTGTTCATCACTGATCACTGAAGGAAGTCAGGACAGGAACTCAAACGGCAGGATATGGAAGCAGGAACTGATGCAGAGGTCACAGAGGGGAGATGCTTACTTGCTTCCTTCCCATGGCTTGCTCAGCCTACCTTCTTATAGAATCCAGGACTAGCAGCCCAAGGATGGCACCACCCAGAATGGGCAATCCCCCATTGATCACTAGATGAGAAAATGCCTTGCAGCTTGATCTCAGGATCCTCAGCTGAGGTTCCTTCCTTTGATGACTCTAGCTTGTGTCAAGTTGACACACAAAACCACCCAGTACAGCGGGGTCATGGCAAGTCTGACTTTGTTTCCTTTCTAGGTGCCTGCTTCCTCGGCTGCAACCAGCAAGTTTCCCAGTATGAGTACCACAGAAGCTAAGGTAAAGAACCTTTGAAGGGCAACCTGAGTGAATGCCACTTAAGATTATCATGAGCAATAAGCTTGTTGACAGATGGGTTCCTTATCTTAGGATGCTCACATTATGGAAGTCAGCATCTTCTTCCTGAGTTGGAAGCTTGTGCAAAATTCTCCTCTAAGAGAATTTCTGTCTAAGAGGTGTCTCTTGTTTCAGAGTATTCAAAAGTGTCACTGCTGGAATTCCCCCCTTGATTACAGTTTTGAAAAGAAAAGAGATAATCTCTCTGAATACATTCCTCTGGAACTGAGGAAATAGGGAGTCTAGCTTCCTGGTAACAGTAGTAATATTTTTGGTAGACATTTTAGAATTGAACAAACTTATACTAAGTGAACTAAGTGACCACAGAAGCAAAAAGAAAGGGTATGGATGTTTGAGATGCGTTCTGGTCTTGTGCCTGATAGAGAAGAGGACTGTCTCTATGACAAACTCCTTAGAGCCCTGTTGGGTATTTATTTGCATATGTATCCCTCAGAATTTCCAAACAATCAAAGAGGTGTCATTGCTACACAGGGTGACCCCAGTTCTGACAGACGACCGAAGCTGCGATTACTCAAGCTGTTTCTTAGAACTGTTTCAGGGTAGAAATAAAAAAGAAGAGACATTTGTAAAATGTTCTCAATCTTTTGTGTATTCCATTATTTGGTTGTTTTAAGAACTCCCAGCTCCATTATTATCAAATTGCTTTATCTACAGTTTTCAGCTTATGTATGCTCTCTGTGTCCCCTGTCACTGTGCTGTCTCAGCAGTTTCCTGTTCCAGGGGAAGTGGCAGCATAGGTTACTACCAGGGATCCTCTTGCCTTATCTTGAGTTAGAACAGTGAAAATATCTGGGAGTGTCCTTTTGCCTAAGTTTTATAAAGGTTAACTTAAATTTTATATTTCCTTGACTTATTTGAAGTTTTACCTTCATACTAATTTCTTAATTATGTTATAATATTAAGTATATTATCTATTAGTAACTAATTAGTTGCCTTTTGTTAAATTATTTTTAAAATCATATGTACAAATATACATATATAGATTTGTAGTACTGGGAATTGAACACAAGACCTTGAGACTTAATGTGTGCAAATAACTAAATACAATATCTTTGAGGGATGTCTCTAGCTGTCCCAACCTATTTTAACTTTGAAAGACTAAAGACGGGATACATACAAACCAAAATGCAAAGTAAAACCCCATTGGATTTGATATCAAAGGTTAGGATAGACAGATATTTGGACTGTTTCTATGTCTTTGGTTCATGAAGCTGTTGCCCAAGGATGATCCTGCGTTTTACCTGAGGGCCAGTGTTTATTTCCGTGCAGTGGTTTCCAGAGCAAGTATCAACAATCCTTGGATATCACAAATCATTTATCATGAGAATTCCTGGCAGTCAAAACAAACAAACAAAACCTTTGAAGGAGGAAGAAATATGGGAGATGGAAGAGAAGGGACAAAGAATGAGACACATGTGATCAAGCCTTACCGTTGTCTGATTTAGACCATTTTTGGCCTCTGTTGTTGTTCCTTGGAGTGTTTCAGTCACACAGCTCTCAGTCATTGTATCTTCATTGCTTCTTCTGTTTCTCGTGATTACACAGTGACGACTGTCATAGCCTCCTCTTGGAGATGTCAGGACCTTGAGCTTCAAAGGTTCACATCCGCAAATACTTTGAGCTTTTAGTGAAAAGATGCTAATTCATTGAAGTAGCAACTACAGAACCTTATCCTATTTACACTTTTCAAATAGGAAAGACTATGTATAAAGAAGGGTCTAGCACACACTATGTGTTCTGTATTTTTGTCCCTGGAATGTTAGATTGGTTTTCATACCATTGATTGTAGTCATGATGCAATTCCTGAGAATATATGCATCATGGACACTGGATCCAGACTACATCTCTGAGAATGCTATTTCTTTACCAGCTGTGGTACTGGACAGCCCTTCTTTGCTTCAGTTTCCTTATCTGTACAGTGTGAATAAAAATGATATAACACCTATTTCATACAATTGCATAATAAAACAAACAGTGAACAATGCCTGTCTCAAAGCTAGTGCCCACTGTGAGCACTACAGTTGACCAGTAGCCACCATGCAGCCTTGTCACTGCATACACAACTACAGCTCTATCATACACTCTTCTTGAGAATTTCCTGGAATTTGAGATCTTTAATTATTTGCTGGAAAGAGGTATAATAATAATGTTGTCTCTGAGGGTCATGACACATTACAATTGAGCTGGTAATTGCACTTAGGGAAAGCCCTGGTGCCACGGTGCTGATAGACAGCCCCTCGTGCATTATTTCTCCCATTAGGATTAAGTTTTGTACCATTACTACCAAATACAATTTTTGCGATTGTTGATTTAAATTTATATTATATTAAAGAGCTTCTTAGGTCTGAATACAGAATGTTAGTTGTAGTTTAAAGTTTTCCCAACTACTATCTTGATTACCAAATTGTGAATTTGAAGTTATTGATAAATCTAAATTGTGGTAATGCTAGCTGGCTTATTTCCTTTGTAAATGATTTAATAAATTGCATTTGTGTAAACTAAAAGAGGATTCACAAACAAAGGAACACAAATAAAAATTTATCAGCAAAGACACAGTGTGAAAGGACCCCAAATTTCTTTAGAAACATTTGATAGTGAACTTTGATTTTTTGTTGTTGTTGTTGTTATTCCAAACAGTAGGAATACGGGTGTAACTGGGAGGCATTTTGTGAAGATGACTGTACCTTAACCAATACAGCACCAGAGATGATAAATTAAAAGAATATTTGACTTAGTGTCTTCAAATTATAAAATTAAGTTGAAGCTTTGTGGACAACTTCAAATGTCCAAGAGGGAAAACATTAATAGATGGCATTAAGACTGATTTGTGGTCATCACCTTGGAACATTTAGAAACATGTATCAAGTTCTGAGCTGATTTCTGTCTTGCCTCCATCAATGTTGATTGTACGCATTTATGGAGGTTTTTGCTCTTTGTTTATTTGGAGAGTTCAGCTTTAGCTAGTGAAAAGTCTGTAAAACATTGTACTAGAAAGCACTTTGGAAGCATGTTTAGAACTTTAGAATAAATTTTATATTCAGGAATATAACACATAATTTACAAAATTATTTTTAAAACTACAGACAGAATTTCAAAAAGCTGATAATGACATGGGACTTTTTGTCATAGACAAATATGGGAAATACAGATATAAAAAAGATTATAAGAGTTTTTACACAAAGATTTAACCTTAAAAATTAATTTTGTAAATGAAAATCCTCATGAAAAAATATAAATACAAGCTTAAAGACTTACTTGGTTGCTTGGTGTTTGTGTGCCTAAATCCAAGTAGAATTAGATATTTATTCATGTAGGAGATGTGTTAGGCTAGAAGAATAAATCTTGATATAACCATTTTAGCCCTTTATGTAGATTGTCAGATAAAAATGAAATCACTCTTGTATTAGGCCATTCCAGTCTCCAAACAGATGGAAGGACCACATTCACATGACAAGAAAAGGCACAGGAAACAGGTGATGTGATTCACTGTGCCTGGCAGCTCTGTGTACTAGTCACTTCAGCCTCTCAGCATACACTGTCCTCTCTAAGGCTCCAGCATGGCCTTCTTTTAGGCTTACCCACCTAGCACATGCCGTACTAAAAATAACTGCTCTGCTCTGTCCACCACCCTTTTCTTTCATACTTTGAACCCAATCCATGGCTAGTATTTCAATGATAAAAAATTACATTTGTAACTTGGAAGTACAGAGCCTTTGGATTTGAAGAAGGAAGACTTACATTTTATGTGGCTTCTGTGTTTACTACAGTGTTATTAGTAAAACTCTCTATGTATTCTTGAGTAAGAAGTAAAGGGTTAATTGCCATATGACTAGTAATATCTGAAGTGTGTAAGCAACTTAAGTCGTAAATTTTATATTAATAATAATACCAAAATCACACATAGTTGAGGAAACTCTATTACCATCTTAGTAAACTATCTCCATTGCATTTTTTAACTTCTCTTTCCATTTATTTTATTTTTTTTCTAAATTTAGGCTGTGAAAACAGAGTCTGAGAAGTCACAATCAAGTAAGGTAAATACTTTAAGTCTGTGAGTGAATTATTCTGACCCTTTTTTAATAATAATGAGTGAGTTGTTTCCTATATGGGTAAAGGAACTTGTCAGCTAATTTATATAAATCCATAGAATACATATAAAATATTTACCACATTGCTCTTTGGGCTGACGAGGGGGGGGACTTGATTAGGGTGGGGGGGAAAGGGGAGGCAGAGGTGGGGAAGAGACAGAAATCTTTAATAAATAAATCAATCAATCAATCAATAAATAAATAAATGGAAAAAATATTTACCACATTAATTTTATGCATTGCTAAAAAGATATATAGTATTTATAGACAAAAGTATTTCACAAGTTGTTTTATTCAAATCTAGATTTGAATCAATATTTTTTTTAAAGAAAGCAATGTAGGAGGAAAGGTCAAGCAGAGGAAATAGCCTGGGAAGTAAAGGTGCTTGCTCTGTAAGCTTGACAACCCGAGGTCAGCCCCCAGAACCGACAGCTGAAGGAGAAAACCAATTCCTGAAAGTTGCCTTTTAACTTCTATTACTCCACCATGGCACATGCTTGTGCAAGCATACATATGCACCCACAAATATACACACTCACACATACACAAATACTCATGTACGTGCATGCACCTATACACATACTTACACACATTCACTCACTTGTGCACACACATGCATACACATATAACATACACAGGCACATATTCATGCACACACATGTACACTCACATGCATGCACACACTAATGATTTTAAAAGGACATAGGTAACCTTGAAACACTAGGAACAGTGTGCTGAACCTGTCCCTAGATCTTTGGAGACAGTCTTCTCTGGGATGGTGGAGATGTCATGAGTCACTCAGCGTCTTTGTCCTGCGAACAGCTATTGTTGCTTCCCTGATGCTTGGCTGTCCAATCTTCACAGTGATGTGGATTCCAGAGCACCAGCAGCAGCACATCTTTCTCCTCAGTGCACTGCTGTACTTCTTTCTGTCGACTATCTAAGCAAATACGTAGATAAGACCCTAAGGTTTTCTTTAGGGCAGAGAACTGAGTGAAATATTGGAAGCACAGATATAGGTAGGGCCATGGGGTGAAAAGGAAGGCTAATCTGATGCTGTAAAAGGCCTATCAGTGGACCCTGCCTTCAGCCTTTGCATAGGGGATTCTAGAGGGAAGAATTTAGCAAGTAGGTGAAAATTGTCTTCTGTTTCATATTTCAATATTTGTGGTTTTTCTACCAAATGTCAAAAGAATTGGCCCTTAGGGGATGTGCCTATATTTCATCTCCTATTGCCAGAGACTTTTCAAGATGAATGGGTGGCAGACAGCACAGCAAACTCAGCTCAGCAAACTTAGTGCTCACCTTAATCTTTTGATGCCATTGTAGGTTGCCTGACAACTACTGATCAATCTTAGGGGATGTGCAAAGCAGCTCAGAGGTTAGAGGAATGTGTGTCTTTGGAGCCATCTTAAAGACCCAGTTTTCATTTGCTGGTGATTGTAACTAATGGAGACTGTTGGCAGGTTGTTGATGACCAAAGTATATGCCTGGAGTTTTTCCTGAGGACAGAGTGGGTTAGCCTGAATTGTGTTTGTGGGCCACCTTATAATTATAATTATGAAATTAGTATATTAGTATATTCTAACACATTTAGCTTTTACTTATTTGAAATTAACAGCCATCTGTGGCTCATAAGAAAGATAAGTGCTGTTTGCTAGGACTTAACCGTGTATATCAGTTTCTGTTGTGAAACAGGCTTGTTTCCTCAGCCGACCCAGAACCATCATGTGGCCACAGCAATGCTCAGTGTTCCCCCACTCTCTCCGAGATATGGTTTTTCTGTGTAGCCTTGACTGTCATGGAACTAGCTATATAGGCCAGGCTGGCCTTGAACTCATAGAGATCTCCAAGCATCTGCTTCCCAAGTGCTGGGATTAAAGTCATGTACCACCATCACCTGGCATATTCAGTGATTCTTAATGAAGGTTTTGGGAAGATTTCCAGTATTTCAGATTTTGTACCTGAAGTATGATGGTGGTGGTGCACACGGATTTTTGTGAGTTTGAGGCTAGTCTGGTCTACAGAGCTAGTTCCAGGACAGCCAAGGCTACACATAGAAATCCTGCCTTAACAAAATTACAATGGCATTTACCTCACACTAATTGATATTTGTGAAGTACAAAACTGCAAAAAGCACAGACCTTTTTCTATAAAGAAAAATATCTGAACTGTTTTAAACCACCATCATGTTAATAATTTGTGTACTTTCAGACCCCAAACTTTCCGAAGCATGCATCAGATACAGGAAGTAAACATGTTCATAAAGAAAAAGAAGTTTCCAGATCAAATGAGAAGATGGTGTCAGAGAAATCAACAGAACCAAAGGTGAGCTTGATAAATATGTAACCACTCATATCAACTATCTAATATCACAGACTGAATCTGTGGGGTTGAACTGGATGCACTTGGTATTGTAATGATTTAGAACTGTTGTTGCCCTGGTCTTGCAAGATGCAATTGTTGGAATGTGGAATTATGGAGGCGCTGAGAAAGGCACACAGATAGATTTAGAGAAATGCACTGTCCAACCTTCTCATTCTGCACATGGTGACCATCATGACAGCAGGGTAGCAGACTTTTCTGTCTCCAAACCAGAAAACTTTGTGATAAGGCTGCTTCCTAGTCCCCTCTAAACGGGTCAGCGAACGATTGCAAGTGCCCTGCAATCTCGTTTACTTGTTCATATTTGCGCTCTCTTTCTCTCTGAGTGTTTCTGTGTCCATGATTCTGTCTGCTTCTCTCCTCCCTTCCCTTCCCCCTTCACTGTGTGTGTGTGTGTGTGTGTGTGTGTGTGTGTGTGTGTGTGTGAGATACTTAATCTATGCTTGAATCTATGGACTCAAATAATTTTCCTCCTCAACCTTCAAAGCATCTGGGATTACAGAATGACTGACTCCCTCTGTTTCCTTTATTTATTTATTTATTAAAAATTTCCACCTCCTCCCATCCTCTCATTTCCCTCCAACTCTCCCCACTCCCCCTCCCTGTCCCTCTCCAGTCCTAAGAGAAGTCAGGGTGCCCTGCCCTGTGGGAAGTCCAAGGCCCTCCCCCCTCCATCCAGGTCTAGGAAGATGTGCATCCAAACAGAATAGGCTCCCAAAAAGCCAGTACATGCAGTAGAATCAAAACCCGGTGTCATTATCATTGGCTTCTCAGTCCGCCCTCATGGTCAGCCACATTCAGAGAGTCCGATTTGATCACATGATTGTTCAGTCCCAGTCCAGCTGGCCTTGGTGACCTCCCATTAGATCAGTCCCACCGTCTCACGGTCCTGACTTTGCATGCAAATGGATGGAAATAGAAAATACTTTACTGAGTGAGATAACCCAGACCCAAAAAGAGGAATATGGTATGTACTCACTCATAAGTAGATTCTAGCCATAAACAAAGGACATTGAGCCTATAGTTCGTGATTTAGAGAAGCTAAATAGGAAGGTGAACCCAAAGAAAAACATATTTATCTTCCTGGATATTGGAAGTCGACAAGATCGCCAGGCAAAAGTTGGGAGCTCGGAGATGGGGGTGAGCTGGGGGAAGGGGAGATGGGGAGAGAAAGAAGGGAGAAGGGGAGGACTGGGGAGAGCTTCGGGGAATGAGATGGTTGAAATGGAGGAAGGATGGATATGGGAGCAGGGAAGAAGATATCTTAATTAAGGGAGCCATTTTAGGGTTGGCAAGAGACTTGGCTCTAGAGGGGTTCCCAGGTGTCTAAGGGGATTTCCTCAGCTAGGTCCTTGGGCAGCAGAGGAGAGGGTGCCTGAACTGGCCTTCTCCCATAGCCACACTGATTTTGCATATCACCATAAAACCTTCATCTGGCGATGGATGGAGATAGAGACAGAGACCCACAATGAAGCACTAGACTGAGCTCCCAAGGCCCAGATGAAGAGCAGAAGGAGGGAGAACATGAGCAAAGAACTCCCTCTGCTTCTTTACACAGAAGTCCTCATGCTTATTTTGCATGAGGAAGACATGAATTCATGAAACATGAACTCAGAAATCAATTCTGAGTTAGAGGCACTTTGCCCTTAGAAAAAGAAATATCTATGAGACATTTCTCATTGAGAGCATTATGGAAGATAATACTAGGCCGGCCTACTTTACAATGCATTTCATATCAGATATCAGAGTTCATAAATATATGATTCAGGAGTTAAATACAAGAACATGGGTTTTTGGTTTGGCTAACAATATTGTTGAAAATTATTTCTAACAGGCTCAAAATTATTTTTAATTAGGTACTGGCAAAAGATACCAGGACATTTCACGTAAAATCCCAATCTGTAGCTTCTCTTAGAAGTCAGACTATGTGGAGAACTGGGTTTGGATGAGAACAGCTGACAGGGGCAACCACAGCTCATTTGTGGGCTCCAGTTAACCACAGCACACTGAGCTCATTGGTCAGGGGCAATGGTGTTTTCACATCTGTTTACCCTGAATGAACACTGAAGGCTCTCGAGCCCACCCCTGTGTTGTGCCCAGCACTGCACTACATGCAAAAGAAGCTAGCAAATTTTTTCAACAGTGATTCCTTGAAAACAAACTGTCAGGTGTTGGTGGCATTTGAAACTCACGCTCTTGGTCAAAGTCAAAGGTGCTTACTTAGTCCTGTCACTGTTCTCAGACAAAATCACAAGGTGTTTCTTCTGCTGCTGGTGGGGGTGTGGCTGCTGGTGGGACTGTGACTGCAGCATCGGAGAAGGCAGATGACAAGGTGAGTACACATTCAGATGTAACATGATCTTTTATGTCAGACTTCTGTTCTAAGAAGCACACAAAAGACAGAAATAATAGGCACTCTATGAATTTTTGTGAGGAAGAACATATGTTTTCAGAATCTGTAGTACTAAAGACTAAAATAGTAAGTAGTTTTGAAAACTAAAATAGTTTTGAAATGTGTGCATCCATTATTGGGCACCTGGCATATAATGGTATCAATGCCAAAAAATTAAAATGTAAGTTGGTTAATGCCCTGCCTTCCAGACTCACAGGCATGAAGTCAAGATCATAAAACATTAATGCTTAAGTACTCATTATACTCAGCTTAGAATGTTTCCATTAGCAGTATTACCACTAAGTCAGTTACAGCAAAGGTGTGAGTGGATAGCATGGCAAGCCCTCACATCACGAGGGTAGATGTACTGGCCAGTCCAGGAAGCCTGCCGTGGCACCTTGGAGAAGCTCCAGTTGCAGTCCTAAAGTCTCAGACAAGGGTAAAAAGTATGACACATGCCCTGAACATCTTGCTTTATGGTATCTTGGGATATCATGCACATTACTTTAACCAAACTCACAGAAACTTTTAAGTAGAAATACTCACATATGAGGGCTTTTGCAATAAATTGCTTATATATTATCACCGTGGTTGTAATGAACTAATATGAAAATGGGTAGATGTCAGGTCAAGTTTGGATGTGTTACAACTCCTCCGTATGAGTGCTGCCCCTAAGCTTCTGGTTTCCTTTGAAAGGTTGAAAAGCCTGTAGAATTCATGTGAGATAAGGACGCCTAGTTTAGGCTAGACTGAATGAATGCATTCAAAATTTGAGGTTTGATTCTGCATATAAACCAGCCCAAGTCATCAGTAAAAGCTAAGTGATCCCACTAAGAAAGTTTGCATAGAATTCTGTTATACATTGGCTTGATTCTGGAACTTTCCATATGTTATTTTATTTGATTTACTCCTGATTCTTTCCCAACTATGTAGGATTAATCAGATCTGTCTTAATTTAGTATATGGCATTATAATTGACTGAGAATGTGCTAGCTGCTGGGCGGTGGTGGCGCACGCCTTTAATCCCAGCACTCGGGAGGCAGAGGCAGGCAGATCTTTGGGAGTTCGAGATCAGCCTGGTCTACAAGAGCTAGTTCCAGGACAGGCTCCAAAGCTACAGAGAAACCCTGTTCTCAAACAAACAAACAAACAAACAAAAAGAATGTCCTAGCTACAAGTTAGCCCATCTAGTGTTGAAGTAGAGGAACTTTAACTCAAGGCAGAATAAGAAAGGCTCCTAAAGAGAGATATTTTATGAGGAAAGGGTAGGTTTCATCTGACATGGGGAATCCACCGCACTTTGAGAGAGCAGAGACCTTTGAGGTAGGCATGGAAGGACAGCCGGGATTCCAGGTTCACAAAGGCTTCAGGTTATTGGCAATTGTCAGATGAGTTCTGGGCACAAGCACATTCCAGTGTCAGAAGGCAGAGTCCAGAGGCGGCAGTAAGACCAGAAAGACAGGTTAAGGCTGCTCAAGAGAATGCTGTGGAGCATGTTGGTAGTGACAGGGGGGTAAAGGTTGCTTGGGGGCTGTTTCAAAGGTGCTGTGAGTCATTATGTAGTGCGGCTTAGAGCTAGAATAGAAGAAAAAACTGGGAGCTAATCAAAGTTATTGCAGAGGCGGTCTTCAGGTTTTAGAGGGAGTTAGCCGACAAGGGCAGAGGTAAAGTAAAATACAGTGTTCTGGGACTTCAGAATCTGGCCTGAGTACACTGATTACACCGAAGTAAGGCAAGACAGAAGCCACAACACAAAGCTTTTGGAAGTTCTCACTGTGTGGTCCACACCCAGGGTCAACTGTGAGCACGTGCCTTCTTAGGAGTGTAGTGGAGGCCTTGCAGTGCTGTCCCAGATCCTCTGGTTACCCCTGAAAGGCCCACAAGCTCGTAGACTTCATGTGGAGGAAAGAGTGCCTAGTTTGGGCTACACTGGACTGAAGTATATGACAGGCCTAAGGGAGGATTGTAGCAAACTATTGTTTGGTGCACAGAAGAAGGGAGGACAGAGAGAGAGGAGGGAAGGGAGAGAATGAAGAGAGAAAAAGGAAGAGATTGAGCTGACGGAAGGAAAAGGAAGGTGTATGAATGTCTCTACACAAAGTGGTAAGTGACTCCCCAAAGTTGGCTCAGATCCCAGATCACGGCTTGTACATAACATGGTTTTCACCACCAAAGTCATAGCAGTTGCTTGTTTAGTCTTTAGTTGTTTGCAAGTATTTACATTGTGCTTGTCAAGTACTGTCCACACAATCCTCACACTTCCTAGTTAAGTAACATCACTGTCCTCACATCATCACTGTGAAACAAAGGGACAGTGCAAGTGACTGCAAAGTTTCAAGCAGCCATGCATGTCACTGCTGGTGTACAAATGCAGGCAGTCTGGGATCTGCTTCGCAAATTTGATGCTTTCAAATGATACATGACCCTGTGTGGTCCTAAATGAATGAAGCCTCATCAATATAAATCCTGCCAAAAGTTTAGTCCCTGGCCCTAGAAGATTTGAGATAGATCATCATCACAAATCAGGAACATACAGAGTGTGTGCCATTGGAAACAAGCAAAAAACCCAAGGTGACAAGACAAGGGCACAAACCCAGCAGCAGAATCAGAATGTTGCTTTGCTATGGTAGGTTGAGGGATGTGAGCTGACATCTTCAGAAATCATGTCTGAATAGAGGCAGGAAGCTACAGGTAGGAAAGTTACTAGCTGTCTTTGAGAGGAACTATGGTAATTAATGATGAGGGAAATCAAGGAAAGAACAAGGATATACCAAGGCAAGCAACACAGTGGTCTTGATGTGTGGATGTGAAGACCCAGGGAACAGTGGCTACAAGGAGCAATTTCAGAAAGAACTTGGAGGGTTGAAAGTCCCAGGACAAGTATGGTGAATAAAGGCCAGGCAGTCCTGATGCAGATCATGGCTTTGTTCCTTGCTCTGCAACCCAGGGAAAGTTGCCTCATCTCCTTTATCTTCCTTCTTTTTCCTCTCTCAGTCTTTTCCTTCCTATACCCCTCTGCTTCCTTTCCCTCCCTTTCTTCCTTCTCTTCCATCTCTATCTCTTTCATGTACCAGACAATATTTTAATTGCCTTTCTATAAGGAAAGCCTTTTATCACAAATCAGATACATAATGCTCTCTTTAACATCACTAAATAGGCTTCACATTTATAGTTAGTTCTGAAACATGCAAATTGCTCTCCAGAGCAGATCAGGGGAATAGTACATGATCTAAGCTATTACATTTGAATAATTCATCTCAAATGTGTCATAAAGTTGTTTCATAAAGGTATATGAAAGTTTTTAAAGTCCTTCTAAATTCCCACTAGAAGAAAGAAAAGAAATCATTGACGCCAGCTTCACCAGTGGAGTCCAAAGTAAACAAGCCCTCTGACAAGGTATGGACATCACAGTTCATCATCCGACGTCTGTCCTCTGCTGCTTGTCTCAGTCTGATGGCTTGTGATTTTAAAGCAAAAATTTAATGACTTTGAGTTTAAAGAAATTATGACCAATTTGAAAGTGAGGCCTTCACACTGTTTATACCGTTTCATGATAAAAGCCTGTTTGAAACTCTAGTTCCAATACACTGAGCTTATTAATAGTTTCTATTTTTTTTTTTTTTTGATTTTTCGAGACAGGGTTTCTCCATAGCTTTTGGTTCCTGTCCTGGAACTAGCTCTTGTAGACCAGGCTGGCCTTGATGCCAGTCTCTGCCTCGAGTGCTGGGATTAAAGGCATGCGCCACCACTGCCCGGCTAGTTTCTATTTTTAAAATGTGTTCTTTAGCAACATCATAACTGATTAAAACTTTTCTTTGCCCGTCACTTGGTTATAGAGTAGGGACATCTTGAGAGTTAAGTATTACCTCTCTAAGTATTCCGTATTGGTAAAGAATATAAGGTACTTCTTTGAAGTCTATCCCCTCTCCAAGAAATACCAACAGTAACTTAAAAAGGAAAAATAGTCCAAAGTTAGTAGACCCTAATTTCTATTACTTATATCAATAATGATGAGTTCTAAAACCATCGTGGGGATGTGGTCATCTTCAGTGACAATTTTAGTCTGTAGTGAGGGTTTTTCCATTTAAGGTGCCTGTCCATACTGAGTTATTCATAACTACAAAGCAAGGTGGTAGATTCCTCTCATTAATATGCTGAGTTCCTGTTTCTAACTAAACTGACAGTTCATATATATTTTACCATTGATCTCAAATGATTTCTCTTCAGAGCTATCTTTGGGCAAGCAAGTGAGCAACAACAACGCTCATAAAGAAATGGAAAAACACCGGAGAATTCATTTTTAAAAATAGCTTCTATTTGGAAGACATGCTGTCTACGGATTATGTACTATGAAACGTGGGAGTGGGGGAATGAAAAGCAACAAGTACCAAGTGGCTAATTCTTGCATTTGTTTTTCTTTTTCGATTTTAACTGTCAGTATCTTGACTTGATAGCCATTGTGAACTAATAAATTTGTTGCTGTAATTAATGACTTGGTACATTTTGAAATGGTGATTCTTACCTCAATGTAGCCTTTTATCTTTCCAACTCAGAATCTGGACTCTGTATCTACATAATAAAAATGGGCTGAATTTTAACTAATTTTGGAAAAGTTACAGTACTTGATAAATTTTTGTAGTTAAAAATCAAGGGCAATATATCTACCAAATAACATTTACATTCTTTATATTTCATTTCCAGTCAGACATGGATGCTTTAGATGACCTGATAGACACTTTAGGGGAACCTGAAGAAACTAGCAAAGATGATTCATGGTACACTGGACCAGAAGTTTTGGTATGTAATTGGAAGCCAGTAAGAATTCATCTTCAATGAATAGGCAAGCACATGAAGCTGTGACTGTTAAGCATAGGAGGACATATCATATTCTGTTGAATATGTAGAAGCAGGATGGTATCAACATTGATAATAGAAACCAAAAGTTAGTGGTCAGCGTGGAAACAGTCTGCCTTGTGACAGCTACACAATTTCATTGGTTCAGAAAATATCTGATGGTGCTAGAACTCTCACTGACTAGGTCAGAAAGTCTTCTTTTCTGTCCTTTAGATTTGATGTAGTGGACTTGAATTTATTTTGAGTTTTATATCCTTATAATCTGAGTTAATCTATTCTTACTTTTCAAAAAGTAATATAATTTTATTTCCTGATATTAAAAATGTTGTTAATTAGATGAAAACATTTTCAATAGATACCATTAAATATTTGTTTCTACAATTTATAATAAATAGAAAACCAGAGGAAAAGACAACTCAGTAGAAAATTAAGAAATTGTTTGGACAATGAGCAAATAACATTCACCAGGGAATTAGGAAAATGACTTAAAGCATGGTGTGGTGCCATTTGTATGACCAGACTTCCAAAAGTTTGAAAGTCAGACAACTCAATTAAGGCACTAGATACTAAAAATAAGTGTCCCTTTCAGTCATAGGTCCCTTCCAGGGAGAGCCTAGGAGCTTTGCCAGTGTGTTCTGCAAGAAGCTTATCTGGCAGAACATTTGGAAACAATATAGTTAACAGAATATAGGAAGCTACTCAGTGCTTCCTAAAGGGAAAATGGCATCCTTATGCATCAACATGGATATAATACAAAGCCATAATTTTGAATAAACCAGACCAACAAAATTATATTATTTATATAGCATTAGAAAACATTCAAAGTTATGGTGTATAATATTTATGAATAATCCCACATGCAGAACAATATTTTAAAATATGATCCACTTAAATGTCTAAAAATTGATAAAATTACATTTATCATGGTATAAGAAATAAACCATAGATGAGATGAAAATATTTTAAAAAGTCACAAAGTTTTACTTCTAGAGTTTATGTAGGATAAAAAAACACAGAGAAAATGGTGGAAATGATGGACTTAAAGTGCAAGGTGCTGTCTCTAAGACTAATTAAATAATTGTTAGCAAACCGTGAGAACTTTTGGGGCAAGTTCAGTTTTAGCTCTTAATGATTTATTTTCATCTCAATAGTTACAAAAACATTAGTACTGGCGTATCCTTCCATTTTATATGTCACTGTCAGCATACTAATGGCATAGTAAATCTTAATGTGTGACTTAATTCTAGGATCCAATGGATTCTACCTACCTGGAGCCACTGGGTATAAGAGAAGGAACTATTCCTCCAGAGTACAGGGAACTTCTGGCTGTAAGTTTTCTTCTTTTATTTCTTTCTTGGAAGATAATTTTCTATTAATATCAAAGTTTAGAAAGTTGAATGGGGCATATACAGTGGTTAATAAAAAGTGTGCTAACCTTTTAGAACATTCCTGACGATGTATTACAAACTGGATAGCTTAAGCAAGAAAAATGTGTCATCTGCTGTTTCCAGAGTCTGGAAGTCACAGTTAGGATCTGGGATAGCTGGCTTCTTCCAAGGACTCTTGAAAGGCAGCTTCTTCCAGGCCTGTTTGCTAGGCTTGTTGATGGCTATCTTCTCCCTGAGTCCTTTCACATTGCCTTCCCTCTGGTTGCTCTGGGCCTCAGTTTGCTCTTTTCATAAGGACATTAGTTTCACTTGATAAGGATCCCCACTAATGACCTAGCTTTACCGAATTTCTTATTTAGAGATCCTATGTCCCATAAGATACCATTCTGAGGTTCTTTGGAACTTCAGCGTATCTGTGGGAAATTACACAGTTAAGTTCATAATAGACTGAGAATACATTTTGTCAATCAGAAGAATTAATTTTGACTTCTCACTTTCTTTCATTTTTGTTTCAGAAAAAAGAAGGCATCACAGGACCTCCTTCAGACTCCCCTGTGAGTTTGTGTTCATGTATTCTCAGATCTGTATCAATGCGGTGTATCTTCCTTTGAGGGTATAGAACTACCAGTCCCAAACTGGGTTTGGTGATGCCGTTCTGTAATCCCAGTTATTCAGGAGGCTGAGTTCATGGACAGCCTGGGTAAATTATATTCTGTCACAAAATCAAAAGTAAAATGTTATCTGGGGATATAGCTCAGTGGCAGAGTACTTGTTTAGTGTGCCCAAAACTCTGGGTTCAATCTCCAGGATCAGACAAACACAATGAAAAAGCCGGAACAATTCTGTATCTGAAGATGATTACCACACCCATCTCTTAATCAGATAATGTTTCTTTTCTATTTCTAGAAAAAAAGGTGGGCATGGGGCTGTTTCCCTGTTCCTTGGCCATGTATATGTATGGAGGTCGAGTGATGGGGTCAAGAAGATAAAAGGATATAGTAAATACTGATAATTATTAGTATGACGAGCACATATAACCACATGTAACTCGGTTAGAAGGAGGGAAAAGGAGAAGCCACCCACTCCCTTCCAAACATGGCTTCCTACTGAGTAATTTTGTTAATGTTTCTCACTTGGTATCTAGGGAATGCAAAAAAAAATGTTTCTTTGCAAGAGTCCTAATCTCTAGTTTGGCAATTAGGAGTTATTCTGTGCTCTTTTCTCTAGAAACCCATGGGACCTGATGATGCTATAGACGCCTTGTCTGCTGACTTCACCTGTAGTTCTCCGACTGAAAAGCAAGCTAAGGAAGAGGTATTGTTTTTAGCTCTGTTAAGGAAGCCTCTGCTAGAAAGTGTCTTGGGTGTAAAAATAGTATTTTAGTTCTGTTTATAACAATTGAACTTCCATCACCTATAAATATCTGTTGTATTTTCTTTTTCAGAAATCTACAGGTGAGGTTTCTAAAGCTCAGTCGGCTGGAGTGACCAGAAGTGCTGTGCCTCCCCAGGAGAAGAAAAGGAAGGTGGAAGAGGTACGCTCTTCCTTAAATAGCCAGAGCCCAGATGACAACAGTTATTTGCTTGATTTTGCTTAATTATGAATAATTTTAGAGCATAACCTTTACTATTGTCATACAAGACCATCTCATGTTGTAACACAAAGACAGACACAACTCTTGAAACATGGAATCTTAGACTTGAGTTCCTCAAGGGAGCTTTGTGGGTCATTTTAGGGATGTCAGCAAAGCTGTTTCTGCTGCCTCAGCAACAAGCTGAAACCTAACTCTGTCTTCAGGGTTGATCCTTCAACTCCAGGCTGGATGTGGGCATGTGTGCCCTGTGTGAGGGGTGCTGATAATGCTAAGGGCCATTTCTATCAGGGCTGCCTCTGCTTTGGCCCTGCTGGAGGGAATAGTTTATTTTTATCTCAATGCCTGGGAGAGCTGTGGGGAGCACCACGCCCTGGTCGTGGGAGTTCTCAGAACCCTGACATTGTCTTCAGAGGCCACTTCAGCTTTCTCAGTTACTTGAACTCAGCTGTTTTGCTGAAGGGCTGAGCTTTCAGAAGACATTTCAAACACATTTTTTAAAAAAAAAAAGAAAGAAAAACAGGATTGTGCAAGTCTACTTGCTTGCAGCTTTTATTTTGATAAGGGTCTTTTGTAATATCATTTTTATTATAATCATATATCTTACTTGCAAAATAAGTCTTGAGTGTACCCTCTAGCTGTGCTATAGAAACAGGTCTGGTGTCTTAGGCCAAGCTTTCATTCATCGGTAAGTCCTTTTTCTTCCTCTTGTAATTTTCAAATAATGCTTCCTATCTAGTAATTTTCCAATTCACCTTCTGTATTTAAAATGTATATTTAACAAGTAAATGATTATATGGATTCTCTAAACTCTAAAACTGAAGAATTTTCTGCTTTGTTTTTATGCACTGACCTTTTTCCCTTTTAACAGGGTGTCATGAGTGATGAAGCCCTGCAGGCCCTGTCAGAGTCACTGGGCACCCGGCAGCCAGACCCTGAGTGCCACATTAGCCAAGACGACCAAGTCAAAGAGGTACTGACCTGTAATTCATATATGAAGCTGAACACTGGCACAGGACGAGAATTCTTTTACATTGTTAGAATTGAAAATGAGCAACTCTTCATTATCTCACTTTTAGAATCTGGTAAATGTAGGTATTTATTTCCAGACAGTGAGAAACCACGGCAGATGTTTAAGTGTTTATGTAAAACACTAATGCTTGAAAAGTGAGCGTGTGGCTCAGTGGTCAGGTACTGACTTGGCCTGTGCAAGGACCTGGGTTGGAATCCAGCACTTCAAGAATGCAAAACCTTTTTGTTCAGTATGTTGGCATACATCTGTGATCCCAGAACTTAGGAGGCCGAGGCAGGAGGATTATGAACATGTGAGATCCTGTCAGGAAAGAAGGAGGAATGGGGTGCAGGGAGAAGAAGAAAGAAACACTAATCTGCTTTCTCAAAACTAAGGAAGCAACAAGATAACAGTAGTGCTGAGGTGAGAATCTGTGAAATTTGTTTTTGCTTGGTATTGTGAGTTTGTGTTTTCAGAAGAGTGCTTATGGAAGGAGGTTATCATGGAAGAGTGTGATGAACCTTCTCCTGTGTAGCTATGGGGAAGAAGGTTGACAAATCGTCTCAGGTTAAAACAAACTGAGCAGCAATCACAACTGCTTGTTTACTGGAGCTCACAAACACTTGCAGCACATTTGTCTCATAGCCTACCAGCCCTTAGCAATCCCATCCAAGCCTATAGCAGGTAGAAGTAATGATTAAGTTGTGATTTCAGGAAAAGGACAGAAGTAAACCTCCTGTGTCTCACAAAGCAGGAATCCTGGAGCGAGACATCCAAAGGCTTTAGGAGCACTACCCTGTCAGTTCAGGGAAAGGAAGCTGGCAAGTAGCAGTGTCACAATGCCCCTGACTCTGCTGTCACTTCCTGTTCTGAGTTGTCAGGGAAAGACAGTCTCCCTGACTCCCGGGAACTCTGCCTTAGTCTGAATTGGCCCAGGTCTATTATGGGCCAGATTCTGTCTTCTACTTTTTGGGAGGGCTCCCCTGCTGCAGTGTGGCATGAGAAGCTTCATGATGCTGAACACAAGGGAGACGGAGAAACAATCCCTGCCCTTCAGGACCATGTGATTTGCTCAGAAGAAAGGGAACATGGGTCCAGATACCGTGAGGTGCACATTACTCAGAGCCTGCTGTCTCTAAGGATGGTGGTCTTGGTGGAGCCTGGGTGTGACCAGGAGGTTCTATGCCATGAATCTATCACCTGGGGGCTATGGATTTCACTTTTGTCAAGGCTTTATATAAATAATTAGAATAATTTAATAAGACTACAGACACACACACACACACACACACACACACACAGTTTCCTCCATATATATGGGGAGCGAAAATGTGTAAACCTAATAGGAGAACCAGGATAGTCCAACTAACCCAGATGAATAATTGGAAAACAGTGATATAAAAGGAACTCATGCAGCACCATGGGTAATGTCGTTGCTCTCCAGATTATGTATAGGAGTGTGTTCACTGTCCTAAAAGCTAGTGAGTACCAAAACACTAATAAAATAACTTTCCATTTATGTCAGGTGAGCTTTCTCCTAGTCCTCAACGACAACTATTTCATAAGAAGCTCTTCCAATCCTCTAAATTCTTGAGCTAATTAGTGGAGTCTGGGGGTGATCATTCATAATGAATAGCCTTGTGTTTTGATAAGCCTCACAACAGTCCTTGCTGCTTCTTATCGGAGTCCAAGGGACCCCAGCACCTTCCACATTAGGCAGCACCTGTACAAACAATGGAAGTCTTCAGAGAACAGACCCAATCCCACTTATAACACATAAACTTTGTTTTGCCTACAGTGATAACTTTTAAGCCACCTGATTTTTAGGTATGTGTACCTGGTCCAGCATGTTTGCAGTATGGTAGACTTCCTTTTGTTCTAATTTCTGTTCCTTTGGTGTCTTGTATGGTGTAGCTATTTTAAAAACATAAGGAGCAAAAAAGAGGTGAAAAAAGAGATCCATCTGTGTGTATATCTGCTCATAGCCTGGAAGTATAGAGACAATCTTCCTGTTTAGATGACCCTTGATATTCATGGAGTCTCCTTAGGGACTAGACACGCACACCTCCCTGAGTTGGGCAGTATTTTTGCATATCAGAACTCCCACTGACAATAACAGAGTAAAATCTGAAGTTCGAAAATAAGCAAAAAACTTTCCATTCTAAACAACATACTATTATAATCCCAGAACAAAAAGTGCCTGGCTGATTAAAATTGCTTGAAAATTTTTAAGACTTAATCAAAAAATTAGCCAGTCCAGTCTGAGGTTGAGGTGAAGATGGGAGCAGTGGGTTGGCTCAGAATTTGCTGAAGTTATTGTGCTGGCTACCTTAGGTTCTGAGTTATAAACCCTTGCCTTGAAATAGACACAAATCCTTATACATGGGATGTTACAGGACTCACCTGAAGATTCCATTACAGATGCTATAGAGGAGAAATAGTAGTTATTTCTGATGTCTGTTTGCTCCTGGTTCACTGATCTTGTGGAGTAAGTCCTTTATAAATCAGTAAAGCCAGTTCTCCACGAAGAAGCCACATTTATGACTGTCTGCTTCCCTCAGTGCTGAACTGGATGAGAGAACTGGATATGTACTTTTCTCTCTCCTTAGCTAACTGCCCTGTTGGGCATATATGGAGCTATTAAAATAATTGTAGCTAACTTCTGCCCTGTGCTTACTGTCCTCCAAGGAACGTTTATTTACTTTGGTGACCCTTCAAAGTTAATGAGCTAAGGAAGGATTATTAGCCAGAGAGGCAACACTCTCAAGGGTGCCATGACTTCCTAAATCTTGAACCAAGCAGGGAGTCTATCTTAATACCTTCTCTCTCTACAGACTTGCACTTTGTGGTTTAGGGAGCATTCCAAATACTTCAGCCCAATTCTGAGTTATTCTGTAGCACACGAAGTAGGTGACATCAGTTTCTATTAATTATATCAACTAATTGCTGCTTTTCTCCTCTTCATTTTCATCAGGCAAAAACAAAAGAAGAAAGGAAGGAGAAATGCGGTGAGGATGAGGACACAGTCCCCTCTGAGTACCGGTTAAAGCCAGCTGTGGTAAGCTTTCCACAGAACAGGACTTCTAAAGCAGTCATTAAAGGTCTAACCTATTTCACTGTTTGGAAGGAGGAGAAAACATTTTCTAAATTGTGAAATTTCGTGTTCAAGACCTAAACAGTGTTTAAAATACAAAAATGATTTTTATTCCCATCCTGGTTTGGAGAATTGAGGCAGGCTTTCGAAGGAGCCTTGACTAGCCCCGAACTCCCTCGGTAAGTAGTGGAGACTGTCCTTGAGCTCCTGATCCCCCCCCTCAACTCACTGAACTCACTGGTAGGTAGTGGAGACTGTCCTTGAGCTCCTGACCCCCCCCCCTCAACTCACTGAACTCACTCAGTAGGTAGTGGAGGCTGTCCTTGAGCTCCTGATACCTCCCCCCTCCATATTCACTGAACTCACTGGGTAGGTAGTTGAGACTGTCCTTGAGCTCCTGGTCCCCTCTAGCTTCCAACTGCTGGAATCACAATCTTGATCCTACATACCCAGCTCCTTAAAAGTAAGGTTTTTCTTTAATCTATTAAGGAAGGGGTAGCCATATGACTTAGTGGGTAGACATGCTTGTCACAAAGATTGACTACTTAAGTTTGAGCCCTGGGACCTGTGGGATATGAAACAAACTAACCCTGCTCTCCCATACACACAGTAAATACTCAAAACCAACCCATTGACACAATTGTACTATTTTTGTAAAAGTCTTTTTTGTTTCTTTGTTTTTAATTTTGTTTTTTTTTTATCTTTTTGCCTTAGCAAACAATAAATCTTTCATAACTTGTAATGAAAAACAAATGATAGCATCCTTAGAAGTGTTTGGGCTTTTGAACCTGTGTTGGTACTTACAGAAATTAAATCTAAAACTAATTCACTCAAGTATAATAATAAAAAAAATAAGCTTACATCTTACATCCTGGGTTTGCCTCAAACTAACATAATAGGGGACATGAAAGCAAATTTTCCATTTTATCTCCAATAAATTTCTCATTTTATTTTCAGGATAAAGATGGAAAACCACTATTGCCAGAGCCTGAAGAAAAGTCTAAGGTTGGAAAATAAGATTTCTCTAACACTTACAGATAACAGAAATCTATAGAGTTAATTAGGACCTTTTTAAAAGATCACATATCACACACAACCTAATACTGAGGCAAATTCTGGTGGTAACTCAAGGCTGAGGCCTCTGCTCTTTTACATATATTTTAATGATGGTTTCTCATTAAGCAGCATTACCAATCATTAAGAGTTAATATACTATTTTAGCATTTAATTTAGAATTGTATTTAGTAACTGTGTGAAATACTCTAACAGTTTTATACTGCCTTAAATATACATAGTTTCCAGTCATGATGACACCAATCAGCATTTTTAATCACCTGCTATATGCTTAACACTGCTCCAAGTGCTTTTCTTTTTTCTCCATTTTCTTTTCTTCTCCGTTTCATTTTTAATGAGCCATAGGGTAGAGTTAACATTGCTTGCATGAGCCCAAGTGTGGGATTATTCATTAGAGCATGGATAGTCTCTCAGTAGATATGCCACTAGAGAAAAATAGCCTCCTGTGTTCTGATGCCTGGTAGACCAGGTGTTAACTACCAGTAGCTCCTTAAAGAGTTCAGTGGCTTCCTGACCTGCTCTTTCATCTGGGATGGAATGCTGGTGAGCTCAGTTTTATACAGGTAACTGAACTTCAGCCGCTGTGAGCTCATGAGTTTTTTGTAGAAAAGCACACTCCTCCACTTCCTCTCTTTCTACTCTGTCTTCCTTTTCTCTCTAGAGTATTTTCATAGAATCCCTGCATTGACTGGCTTTGCTCTTAAGCTTTCCTGACAGAAGCTGTTTTCAATCCTCTCCAACTACTCCTCCCTTCCCTTTCCTAGGTTATAGGAAATGAGTACATGAATGGTGTTTACTCTGCTTTATTTCTAAAGGAAGTCGTTAAGGACTAAAAAATTATGAATAGTCACTTTTAAAACTGCAATTCTTATTTAAAACAGGATATCTTATTTGAATAAGGTTTACAGCAATTCCTTTTGTTACTTTGAAAAGTCACTTACTCTACCTTTTTAATAATTAAAACTTTATTGAAAAGTATTTGTAAATATAAAATCATCCCAAAGTGATTACCTAGATTGAAAGTCTGCCCCTCTCCATGAACTTCTGTGTGGTTCCTAGAGCCGACCTGTCAGATAGGTAGGAAAACCTTTGTGCTTTCACAGTGGCGAGTATTCTATTCTTGTGTACCTTGCTTTTCTTACATCTATAAATGAAGAATACCCTTTATCAAGCTAACTTTTGTTTTTAGATAATGCAGTGCAGCTAAACTATATCAACCAAGGGAGGGGGGGAATACTGTGCTATGCTTTTACAGAGCACAGCGTCTTCCTGACACAGCCTTTCTTGTTATAGCAGCTGAGTGAAGCAGAGCTGATAGGGCAGCTTTCAGAAGATTTCGGCCGATCCACATATCAGGACAAACCATCTGTACCAGCCGAGAAAACAGAAGTATGCTTCTTGTAATGTCTTAAGGGGTTTTAATGTCCATTCTTACTCTGAAAATATGTGAAGCCAAAGTTCTTATTATATAGAGGAGCTGATCTTAAAAGCCCATGGGCCACGTTTTGTACATGATGCTTACATTTTGTTTTTGTCTTGATGTATTTTCTGTTGCCCTCCTCACCCTAGTATTCCTAAAGTTTAAACCCTGCAATCATTCCTTCAGGGAAATGCTTCTATTTGAGCTCTCCTTTTGATTGTTTCTAGTGAGCTGGTTTAAATAAAATTGCCACACCTCTCAGTTCTTCCCATCTTTATATCCACCAAAGTCACCCTTCCTGAAGGATGTTTCTAGTTACATCATTCCTCTGCTCCAAACCTGAACCTCGCACTCCCTATGAACTGATTCTGTTCATACCCCTAGTATATGTTTGCCACCATGTCTTCCCTTCCACCGGGCATACTGGATCACTGTTTTACTCAATGGGAAGACTCTGCAAAAATGACCTTTTGTTATTGGTGCTTTCCTTCCCTTGATCACTACACCCCTTACTAAAACGAATTCTCACGGCAGGAGTTCTTAGTTGGTTTTTTGTTTGTGTGTGTGTGTGTGTGTGTGTGTGTGTGTGTGTGTGTGTGCGCGCGCGCGCGCACGCGCTTCCCCTGTTAAAGCAATTGTTTAAGTAGGATGTGAGCTGTACTGGTGCTTCTCCACCCTAACATCTATCAATGTACAGTCTTAAGGATGATGAGAGTATACTTTGGCATGGCTCTTTCTCCAGGGTGCTTTGCTAAAATGTCTGAATTAAAAGCATTTGAAAATTACTGGGACCTTGCCTCTAGAATTCCTCACTGCATTGTGGTGAGAGTCTAAGAATATATATTCCTCAAAAGATCTCCAGTACCGCTGAAGCTACAGGTCCAGGGACCACTCTGAAACTCCTATTCAGTATCATTCCTTACATTCATGCACAGATTTGTAAGGGCTGTATGCTCTCAGATCAGTCCTTGAGATGTTGTGTGTATTTCAATGTTCTCCTTTCACACATGTGAAACTGAATCTGCCAGTTGCTATTACAGTAACTGAAGAGGTTTTTTTTTTAACATGTCTTGGCATGCATATTGCTAAATAAGCATTCAAAAGAATCATGTTTACAACTTACATCTTGTAGTATGTAATTGTGCCACCATTATTCGGTTTTATTAGTCAGGTAGTTCTAAAGTTATTCAGAGTGCTTGCTTCTTTTCCCAGAAATCAAAGGACACATCCCCTACTGTGTCTGAGACTGTGCCTCAGGCCTCCATGTGCAGTATTCTGGTGGCACCACCCAAAACAGCCTCAAAGGTGAGTGATGCCCTTAGCATTGAAAGGATCTTGAGCAAGCTTTGTTCTTTCTCTCCCCACTCTCTACTGTGTGTCGCCCTAATATTATGCCAAGAACATGAAGCGAGAGCTCATGCAGAGTTGTTATTTATTGTTCCTTGGGCTTCAGGGCTGTGCCAGAAACCTCATCTGTATTTAACTTTAATTCAGGTGCTGCCTGCGGCTTTGCTTTTCTCTTCTGAACCTCCAATAGTCTATAGTCCTCCAATAATCCGTGCATTCTGAAGTTTGTCAGAAAGGCTGGTGCCATATTTCTTTCTGGCTTTGCATTCAAATCATGACAAGGATCCTGCCCCCCCCCTTCCCCTTTGGAGGAAAGATCACAGCATCCCTCTGCCTGGCCTTTATTGTTTCTTGTCTTCTAATTTTTGAATGAAGTGTGATATTTGACTAAGTCCATGTTTAATTTTGATTACTAAGGGTTTCATTTATATTCTCTGATGACTCAGAGGTCACTGCTTCACTCTTACAAAATCTGAATCCTGAATGAGTAGCCTTCCTCTTACAGGACACATGTACTCCAGATCTTGCATAGTATCTTCTCGTTATTGTCTGTAGGAGTAAAGATTCGTGCTTCCCAGGGATTCCTTACCTGGTGTGCATTTCCTGCTAGTCTTCTCATTTGATGTTGATGAGGACACTGCAAAGTCTTTCCTGATCACTGTCACGTGTAGGTGAGGACTGCCAGGCTTTACCTGTTATCCTGGTCCTTAACTGGGATGAGAATGGGAAATACGGTCCTCCTGTTGGATATCCTCCAGGCTTGTATAGGTATGAGCCAGACCTCAAGCTATGACACAGTCTGGACTTTTCCGTATGGAGAACTTCAGATGGAGCATAGATAAAGGAATCTTCTTTTGTAGGAATTTACAAAGGCAGAGTCACACTGAGAATAAGAATAACATATCCCATGGAAACCAGTGAGGCAAAAATGCAAAGTTTTTGGTGTGCTTGGGATATGTTCATTTAGATGGTTTAGAGAACTGTACAATAATAATACTAAAAAAAACCGTTAATGAATGGTGCTTATTCAGGTTAAGTGTGGTGTATTGTTTTCTATTTATGAAAAGTGTTCTAACCAGGAGACATTCAAATAATTTTTAATAATCACTAAGTAGCATTTATGATGCATCGTTTGGAAAGCCAGAACCTGTTCTCTCACTTGGTCCATACCTGATTTCTTCATTTCCCTTTACATGCCTCATCTGTGCTTCCTGTTTATGTGTTGGAATGTTGGCATAGCCAAATCTGGCTGATAGCATCATGGAGTTAACACATTTCATTCTGAATATCAAGAATCAAGTAGGTCATTGCCATTCTGCACTGAGGACAGTCAGTCACAAACAGGAAGATCTTGAGTCAACTGTTAGTCATGTGATTAGTGAAAGTGCCAGGGAACAAACTTGTGCCTCCTCCCCAGGGCCTGGCCAAACTTGGTGAGAGATCCTGCCTTCTTTCCCTTCTGTCAGCTTTGGTTATCTTTATTTTCTTTTTTTCATGGATCAGAATTCCAGCTGGATCTTTTAAGGTTTTTAGTATTAGTATATAAATTGCATACACAGTTTTTAATATAAGAAACTTACTTTATTTTTTTTAACATTCTTAACGTTTCAAAACCTCCATTCTAATGATATTGATGGTTCACATTATTAAAGATTACGGAGACCTGAAATGAGCATGAGCCTACCTAAATTGGTAAGGATGAATAACAACTTAGGTTTACCCTCTGTGTCCATGCAGAAGGACATGGTGCCAGATGATGCTGTGGAAACCTTGGCTGGAAGCCTAGGGAAAAGGGAAACAAATCCAGAAGATGAAAAACCTGTGGTGGATAAAGTTAAGGTAATGGCAGCTCAAATGCTTCAACAAAATGACATATTAACCATGCCTCTCTGCTTTCTAATAAGTTAAAACTTTGCTTTTAAAAATATGTCTGTAAAGCATGGTCAGTCTTTCTTTGATACTGCACATATCCTCTTTAGTAAGCTAAACCTTAAGAAGTGCTAATGTTGATCCACTCTGGTGGCTAGGTAGCATACCTGTGTCCAAGTCTGTGAATCCCCATCTTTGTCTACCTGTATTCATTCTTTTTCCTAAGAAAAGTAGCATGTGCTTAGTACTCCTTCCTACCTTCCCTTAGCCCAGCAACCTGCTAACCTGAAAACAGTGTTTAAGTTTAAGCTGTTGAGGATATGTTAAACAATGGCCAAATGCATGTTTAAAGCTAACAACAGATTACCTCAAATTTAAGATCTGAGGAATGCGTTGTATAGGAGGAGATACTAATCCTAAAAATTACTTTTTGTTTATAGGAGAAAGCTAAAGAAGAAGACATTGAGAAACTTGGCGAAAAAGAAGAAACAATTCCTCCTGACTATAGACTAGAAGAGGTCAAGGTAAGCAGATGAATATTATCCCGTTTTGTTTCCTAACTGAATGTTATGTACATAAAAAGGGGGCTGAGAGCAGATCTGGAATATAAACTTCCCATTTCTTTATGTTCTGACCCTAAGTTGTATTATTGCTAATACTATGTTAGAATACCAGATAAGGAACTAAAACATATTCTTTTAAAATTTGTTCATATTTAACTTTGTATGTGTGTGTATCCTGAATTTATGCCTTTACCCATTCTTCTCTTTCCTCTTCTCCTTCAAATTCATAGCCTCTTTTGTTTTATTATTGTCACATATGCAAACATACACACACATACATATAAGTTAATATATAAATAAATCTAATGAGTCCATTTAGTGATGCTTGTCTATATGTTTGTTTTTAGGGCTTAGCACTTGGTTTGGATAAGCAATTGTTGAGCTCATCTCTGGAGAATATTCTTTCTACCTCTCAGCATTAATTAGCCCCTATAATTCTTCATCTAGAGATGAGACTCCTTGAAATTTCTCTCTTCCACATTAGGAAGTCAGCTGATATTGTCATTGTTCAAGTCTTGTTTAGGCAACCAAATTGTTGAGATTTCATGAGTGCAGCTTCCCTGTCATATACAGAAGATGCAGCTTTGCAGCAGAGATCCTGCATTTTGGTCGGTTGTAGCTTTTTATAACAGTCCCCATCCGCTGCAACAGAGATTCTTTGATGAGGGATGAGAGGTACACTTATCTGTGGAGATAAGGATTACTGTTCAGAGCTCAGTTAAGATCGATACAAGTAACATATGAACTTAACAGGTTATATTTTGGAATATATATACAAAAATAGATATGCACACAATAATAATTGATGAAAAAGGCTACAAATTTGAAGGAGAGTGAGGAGTGATTTATGGGAATGTTTGAAGGGAGAAAAGGAAAGGGAGACATGTTGTAATTAAAATAAAATATCAAAACCAATCAGAGAATGCATTTAAAGGAAATAATGGTTTGGGAGATTTGCAGTAATAGCCATGGATATCCATCAGCCATGGATACTCGGCTGTGTTTATGATACCAGTCAGAAATTCTTTCCTATGGGTCAAGACTTAAGTCCAACTAGAAAGCTGATATGAATCATCTAGATATGTGTCTCCACTTTACCTTTAGGAATATCTTGTCATACTAGTCCCTGTAGTTCACACCCTTCACATCTGGGTAGTGCACCTTCCAATACAGCAGAAGCTAGTTCCCAGGGAGGGGCTTCCGGGCCAATTCATCCAAGTCCTGTGTCCAAAGTTGTGGTGGTGTCAGCAACAGGGGCTTACCTTCAAATTCTGAGAGGCAACCAACAGTGACAGCAATAGAGAATAAAATATATTAAGTAGGCTTTTCTTCCTTTAATATGAAGGAAAACTAGCATCTAGGCTACCAAATATTTTCCCTTTAGACATGTGATTTCTTATAGTACCCCAAATATAGGGAAACCATTTGCAGAATAAACAGACAAACAAAAACCAACATGTACAATTACTTCCTTTGCAGAAAACGTTTTAATCCTTAAATATAAGTTGAAGACATGAGTAAAGTGATAAGTTGACCTTTCCTCTTCATACTGAAAAGACAGGATGTATAGAACAAGTAACCAACGGAGAGACCCCATTATGATCAGTTTCATTGTGCATTTTAAACAGAGAAGACACATAGGCAGTTGAATAAATAGTCATCTTCACGCCATGCCTCTAACAGGAAAGTTCAAGTGTACTTTTAATTGAAGTCATGAGAAGCTGAATTCATAGTTCTCAGCCATCTACATGCACTACTTTATTTTGCAGCTCAAGATCTTACACTGAATTCTCCTTAAAGTTTTTTATTCTGGACACTTCTGGATTTTATACTGCAACCAAAAGTGATAGAGTTTCTATTATTCGCAGCTTTTATGTACATTGTTTTAATTCTTCTGGATATTTTCAAGGACACAAATCTATCTGTCTCTGATCCTAGTTCCATAGAAGCAGGCCATGTGCAGTTAACTCTGTAGGAAGCTGCCTTCACTGAATCTTAGTAGTGCTACTTCAGGGCCCTTTATTTAGTGCTAGTTTTGCCCTCTGAACTTAGCTCACACATTGTTAGTTACGCATTGCTTTGTCACATTTCCAGGTTGCTGGCTTGACTTCTTGTTTAAATACTGTTGTCTTTCATTAGCTCGGCTCACATTAGAAAGGGTCTGCTTTCTGAGGTCAGACTCAAATTTCCCCTTCCTGCCACCAGATGATAAGGTAGTAGAAGGTGGATTTCAATTTTAATGCATAGCACAGGAGCTCCCAGGGTCCCTTGCCTCACTTGTGATCTTTACTGCCTTTTCAAGTGAGACATGGTCTGGAAATAGTAGACTCCTCCTTTAAAAAAGGGCCAAACTTAAAAGTGAATTCAGAGGGCGGGAAGAGGCTTGTGTTAACTATAAGAAAGCAGCAGATCAGATAAACAATTACACAACACATTTGTAATACAGAAAACAAAGCAAAACATTGTGATCACTTTTCTAGGAGAAATCTTTGTCCACACTCATTTATTTTTGTACATGTAAATAAAAGGAATTTATCATTTATTTATAGGTATTTTACTAAAGATTATTGTTATTATTTATTATTATTATGGTTTTGTTCTGTTATTCAAAAGTGCTACTTCAAACTACATATGAAGCTTAGCATATCTAAGTACTAAATTTGAGTGCTCCACCCAAACACAAGCTCTCCGAGGGTTGGAACTTCAGCTGACTTTGTATTATGGTCCCAGTGTTCCTTTATAAATAAGACGTTTGCTGACACACCTCTGAAACATAATGCCTTAGTAGTTCACGTGTGTGTGTATGTGTGTGTGTGTGTGTGTGTGTGTGTGTGTGTGTGTGTGAGTGTGTATGTGTAGTTCTGTTCTTCTGGGTCACAAGCCACATTGACTGTGCTGTTAGACTCCATGGCCAAGGAAGGTTTGATGCATATAAGTTGGCTGTGGATATGAACTGAATTACAGTGGATATATTCTCTGTTACAATAATGATTCTTTAATGAATGAGCTGTGTTAAAATATACAGTAGGTTTAGCCTGTTCATTCCTTGTCTAGTGTATAGGTTCCATGTTTGAGATAACATGTAAAATAATTAATGTTATGTTTTCACTATGAATAGGATAAGGATGGAAAACCACTCCGGTCAAAAGAGTCCACAGAACAACTTCCAGTAAGCAATGTGCTTCTCTGAGTTTGTCTTCTGTGGCCTGCAATTGCTAATCTGGGAAAGGCATAGCTTTCCCATTTAGTGAGCTTATCAGATGTGATAATGGTGAATACCAAAGAGGAAGTATGCCAGCATTGATGTTGTTATGTTTTCTGTTTTTTGCAGCCCTTGAGTAATGAGCTCCTTCTTGATGCCTTGTCTCAGGACTTCTCCAGTCCGGCAAACATATCGTCTCTTGTAAGTATGAAGCGCCTGGTCGAGAAATTTCTCTTTTTGCCCTTTCTTTCTATCTTCCTTCCTTCCTTCCTTCCTTCCTTCCTTCCTTCCTTCCTTCCTTCCTCCCTCCCTCCCTCCCTCCCTCCCTCCCTCCCTCCCTTCCTTCCTTCCTTCCTTCCTTCCTTTCTCTCTTTCATTCTCTATTCCTTTCTTTCTCTCTCTAGTTTTTTTGAGCCAGGGTTTATGTGTAGACCTTGGAACTGTAATACTGAACTGTGTCACCCCCCTCTCTGAGACACGTCTAAGCAGATTTGAGATAAGGCAATTTATTTTTTAAAATGTTCTTTTAGAAAGTTAACATTGTAAGTATAAAAATTATAGTTAACGAAATAGAAATAACTAAGTTTGGTAAATATCAAATAACAGGTTAGGAAATCATTTGGTACACTGTTACAAGCTCTAGTAACAAAGTCTCATATATTGGCTTGTAAAATTCAAATAGAATGGAATAACTACTGTACATACCATCCTTGTTGGTCATCGTAAAATAGAACAGAAATTATAGGGAAAGTAGAATTTTTAAAATGTTCCCCAAATAATACTAAAATTAAGAAATAAATTCAGAATACACTACTGATAATAAAACAACATAAAATTAAATTAAAAAATAGCCAATGAAGTATTCATGTATTTCCCACCATTTGTCTTTAAAAATAAAACAAGGTAAATTTGATGAATCTGATATCTGTGGAATTTTAATTTCCCAAAGTAATAGTATGGACAGTAGGATGTTTGAGCACTGAACACATGGCACAGAACCACGGCCTCATTTCTAACTGACCAGAAGCTGTTCCTTTGGAAAGCACAGGTGGTTTGTAAAATGCTAACAAGTGTACATGCATGTCAGAGATAAATTCTGTTTTTATATTTCAAAGCCAATTATTAGTTGGTTCTTATAAATATCAAATCTTTAAAATGTACTCATGAGTATAATAGAGGAAAACAACACAGAAACCTCAAATTTAATGTAAAATTTAAATTTGATGTAACAGAAAGATGTAACAGGCAGTACAAGAGTTAAACTGATTTGGGGAAAAATTGCACATAAAAATTTAAAGAAATTCTAGACAAAAATACAATCAGTACAATTCATAACACTTTAAACAAAAGCAAAACTAAAGATAAAGGGAGAACTGCTCACAAATTCCTTCCACTAGACGTAAAGGGCTTGTTCTTCTAAACGTCACTGTCTAGGTGGTCCCTCTGTGACATTAGTATGTCCTGAGAAGGAGGACGTTCTGCAACGTTGCTTCTTACAAACAATCATTGTCACTTTAAAAATCTCATCAAGTATGACAGTGTCAGTCAGTAAAGGTCACTTTAGTTGACAGGTAAAAAAGTATTGGCATGCACTATAACAATTATTAAAGTCATTATTTGCAAAATCTTAGATATTCATTGGCAAGGAAATTGGCAATATAGCATAGTAATATAGCCACTATCAATAATAAAGTAGCTATGTTCGTATGAAAGATTTATTTATAGGCCAGGTTTGGTGGTGTATGTCTCTAATCCCAGCAAGAGGCAGGTGGATGTCTGTGAGTTCAAGGCTAGTCTGGTGGACATAGTAAGATCCTGTCTCAAAAACTGCCACAAGGCTGGAGAGTTTTCTCAGTGGTTAAGGTCTTTTAACCACTTGCTCTTGCAGAGGACCCAGGTTTAATTCTCAGCACCTACATGGTGGCTCACAACTGTCTGTAACTATAGGGAAGGTATATGATGCCCACTTCTTTGCTTCACAGGCACCAGGAATATATATGGTGTATATATCTACATGCAGATAAAACATTCATATACATGGAATAAATAAATTTTGAAAACAAAACTATATATTTGATATTTAACATATATTCATGCTTTAAATAAAAACCTTGAAAGAGAGGCAATCCCTTTTGTTCACTGCCAAAAACAAAATGTTGAATATGAAATAAGAGAGTTTTCTAAAATTATAAAACTTTGATTTCTGTTAAAGGGAAAATCATTAGCAACAAATGTAAAGTAATTGACAAACATTCATAAGGAATGCCTGCATAGAGTTGTGGGTATGACTGTTTGTATAGAAGACATATATATGATATCATGTATGATAGCTTCATGCTAAAAACAAATCAGTAAATTTTATTAATAAGAGATTCTAAACGTACATAAAAAGCACAAAATAGAAAATGAATATAAAAATAAAGGCACAGAAATAGAAATATGTTTATCTAAGATGGGTTCATTGTTCTCAATAAGTAATGACTATTCTCTTGTACAGTTAATAATTATTTTGTCATTAAAATATCACTACAGTACCTTCTATAACTGAGTAAAATTATTCTAAAAATGTATTAGAAAAGTTAATTTATAAAAATATGAAACCATAAGTATTTTTAAATGTTTTAGGTGTTATTAACCCATTAAACATTTGGGGCTTTAGTACAGTAATGGTAAGTAAAAACTATAGTCCAAGAATTAACTTACAGCAGAGTGCACAGGAGTAAAATAAGAAATCAGTGTAGATGAGGAAGGTAGCATACTAAAGGGAACCAGGAAGAATTTGTTGCACATCATTCAGAAGAAACCACCGCTGCCGGCTTAAGGCCAATAGCGCAGTGTGCCTTTGGCAATTATCAGAAGTGAACACATAATATAAAAGTTTAAATATGGCAATAGCAAACAGGACTATGTCCATCGTTTTCAGCAGTATGTATTCTTATTAGAATGTGCCAGTGCTGTGGATTTTTTAAGACTCATTTATTTAAAAAATGAAGTAAATGTTTCTTAATGGTATAAGAAAGTATTTTGAAATTTTAACATAAGAAATGATAAATATTTGCAGAGATAGTTTAAACATCACTTAAAATTACATAATTTATAAATATATTTTGGCATTGTACTTTATTAATATATGCAGATTTTTCAGTCTTATATAAGTTAAAATGAGTTTAAAAATTTCTCTTACATGGAATTCCTCTCTTTCATCAATGACTGTAATACCGAATATCACAATTTTTAAAGATCTAACTCTGTCTATCTGGAACTTCAGATATGAGACTGTGTTCCATCTTCTAATCTCCAAACCCTCCTCAATTTGGCACCCCCAAACCTCTGTCCATCTAAGGGAAATGGTCTCTAAGCTACTCCAGGATGCTAGCTTCATAACTTTGATCTGTCTTTTCCCATTGGTACTTCCCATTAAGTCTTGCCTTTGATCTTGAATTCATTTGAACAGAAGTTAAACTGCGAAAAAGATTTTTTAAACACTCCCCCAAAGACATGTTTAATACTTATATACAGCATAATTTAAAAATAATTTATTTTTTTAATAACCCAGTGTCCAACAAGAAACACATAAATAAGCCACAGAACTCTGAATAGATTGTTGGATGGCATTTAGAGTAACAAATGTGAACTAGAAAGAGGAAATCATTGGCTGGACAGATGTCTCAGTGGTTAAGAAAACATACAGGTTTTTTATTATATATTTTTATTTTTTAAAATTTCATTTTACATTCCAAACACAGTTTTTCACCATCCCTTCTTCCTCCCTCCGTCACCTCCCCACCAGAACACCCCCATCCACTTTTCTCAATGGGTAAGGGCTCCCACGGGGAGTCAACAAAGTCTGGTAGATTATGTTGGGCCAGAGCCAAGACCCTCCCCCCTGCATTAAGGCCAAGAATGGCATCCCATCATAGGGAATGTCCTCCAACAGGCTAGCTTGTGTACAAAGAATAGATTCTGGTCCCACTGCCAGAGGCCTCTCAGATAGTCCAAGTTTCACCACTGTATCCCACATATAGAGGGCCAAGTTTGGTCCTATGAAGGCTCCACAGCTGTGGGTCTAGAATTAATGAGTTTTCAAGAACTTGATAGAGCTGTCTCTGTAGATTTCTCCATTATGATCTTGACCACTCTTGCTCCACTCTTCGATTGGATTCCTGGAGCTCAGCCTGGTGCTTGGTTGTGGATCTCAGCATCTGGTTCCATCAGTTACTGAATGAAGACTCTATGATGATAGATGGGGTATTCACCAATCTGATTACAGGGGAAGGCCAGTTCAGGCAGCCTCTCCATACTCCTAGGAGTCTTTAACTGGAGTCATCCTTGCAGATTCTTGGGAATTGCCCTGGCCTGGTTTTTCCCTAACCCCATAGTGACTCTCTCTATAAAGATCTCTTTTCATTGCTCTCCTACTCTGTCCCTCTCCCTGCTCAACCATCCCATTCTCTCGTGTTCTCATCTCCCACCCCCTTCCATTTACTGCCCCCACCCCTAGTTTACAATTTCCTCTAATTCCCCTTCGCAGGGCAATTCATGTGTCTCTCCTAGGGTCATCCTTGTTACCTAGCTTCTCTGGGGCTGTGGATTGTAGTCTGGTTATCCTTGGTTTTACACCTAATATCCACTTATGAGTGAGTACATACCATGTTTATCTTTCTGAGTCTGAATTACCTCACTCAGGATGTTTTTTTCTAGTTCCATCAATTTGCCTGCAGATTTCATGATGTCATTGTTTTTGACAGCTGAGTAATATTTATGTAAACATATCACGGTTTCTTCATACATTCTTCAATTGAGGGACATGTAGGTTGTTCTGGCTATTATAAATAATGCTCCTATAAATATTGTTGAGCAAGTGTCCTTGTGGTATGATTGAGCATCCTTTAGGTATATGCCCAGCAGTGGTATTGCTGGGTGTTGAGGTAGGTTGATTCCCAGTTTTCTGTGAAACCACCATACTGATTTCCAAAGTGGTGGTACAAGTTTGCACTCCTACCAGCAGTGGAGGAGTATTCCACTGACTCCACATCCTCTCCAACATAAGCTGTCCTCAGTATTTTTGATCTTAGCCATTCTGATGGGTATAAGATGGTATCTCAGAGTTATTTTGATTTGCATTTCCCTGATGATTAAGGATGTTGAGCAATTCCTTAAATGTCTTTTAGCCATCTGAGATTTTGCTGAGAATTCTGTGTAGCTCTAAACCCCATTTTTAATTGGATTATTTTGTATTGTGATGTCTAGTTTCTTGAGTTCTTTATGTATTTGGGGGATCAGCCTTCTGACAAATGTGGGGGAAAATCTTTGCCTGTTCTGTAGGCTGTCTTTTTGTCTTATTCACCATGTCCTTTGCCTTACTCCAAAAACTCTACCCAGACACTCCTACAGCTGATAAACACCTTCAATAATGTGGTGGGATACAAGACTAACGAAAAAAAAAATTCAGTGCTCTTCCTATATAAAAAATGATAAACAGACTGAGAATGAAATTGGAGAAATATCACCCTTTACAATATCCACAAGTGTAAAACATCTTGGGGTAACACTAACCAAACAAGTGAAAAACCTGTATGACAAGAACTTTAAATCTCTAAAGAAAGAAATTTAAGAAGATATCAGAAAATGGAAAGATCTTCCATGCACTTGGATAGGTAGGATCAACATTAAAAAAATAGCAATCTCACCAAAAGCAATCTAAAGGTTCAGTGCAGTCCTCATTAAAATCACAACACAATTCTTCATAGACCTTGGAAGAACAATATTCAATTTTATATGGAAAAACAAAAACCCAGAATAGCTAAAATAATCCTGTCCTGAGGGACTTCCGGAGGCATCACCATCCCTGACTTCAAGCTCTACTATAGAGCTATAGTGATAAAAAAACATCTTGATATTAGCATAAAAACAGACATGTGGATCAATGAAATAGAATCAAAGACCCTGACATTAATCCACACACCTATGAACACCATATTTTTGACAAAGAAGCCAAAATGGTACAATGGAAAAAGGAAAGCATCTTTAACAAATGGTGCTGGTATAACTGGATGTCAATGTGTAGAAGAATGCAAATAGATCCATATCGATCACCATGTACAAAACTCAAGTCCAAATGGATCAAGGACCTCAACATATATAGAAGAGAAAGTGGGATGTAGCCTTGAACTCAGTGGCACAGGAGACCACTTCCTAAATATAACCCCAGTAGCAAAGACACTGAGAGCAATAACCAATAAATGGGACTTCCTAAAAGAGCACATACTGTTCTGTCAGAGGACACAAATTCAGTTCCCAGCACCCACAAAATGCCTCACAACCTTATGTAACTACAGCTCCAGGAGACCTAAGGACCACTTATGACTTTCATGGGCAACTGTATTCATATACACATACAGCCTTATAGATACACATACTTACATGTAATTAATAATAAAAATAGATCTAAGAATATAAACATGAAAAATTGTAAAAATACTATAGAAGTGGAAATGAAGAAATAGTGATTTAAAGATTGCCACAAGGCATGCATTTGAATAAAGGGACTAAGAAACCAAGCAGTTTTAGGAATTGTATTTTAAATGAAGATATCATGGCCATAATATTATATGTAACATGTTAATAATAATGTTTTTAATAAAAGGACTTTGATGATGCCAAGCTTTCTGCTGCCATCTCTGAAGTAGTTTCCCAGACTCCTGCTCCTAGCACCCATGCAGCAGTCCCACTACCTGACACTGAGGTAAGTAGATTACCTTTCTCGGGAAATATTTCTAAAGCAGCAACAAGAAAGAAAATAAAGCACCTGTCTAACACAATTGTATAGGAAAAATTATTAGAAAAATCTGGCACCTTGTATTACAGAAAAACTTAGATGATTGGTGTTTTTGAGAAACAACATGTTCTCTCTCTCTCTTTCTCTCTCTGTTTCACATACTCTCTCTCTCTCATTCATATATATGAATATATATGTGCATATATAATACAGATAGATATGGATAGAGGAGGGTCTATCCATCTGTCTGTCTATCTATCTATCTATCTATCTATCTATCTATCTATCTATCTATCTATCAAATTACTAGATTAAAAAATGCCCCTAGTTTTTCTCAAAACTGATTTCCTTTGTCTTTCTTGGCCTATTCTGTAATTTACTACCCATCATTTGATCCCATTTATTGTATGAAATTTCTGAGCATTTGAGCTATTCTGAAAAAAAAAAACAAGACAAGTGTGTCATGGAATTGTATTGTTCTTCCACCATTTCAAAAGTGAAAATTTGTCCTTTTTATATCAGCATTAGAAAATCCACAGCATTAATATTGCTTTAATTGTGTCTTGTGATGCAAGACTATGGGGCCAAAGCTTTTCCTGACTTCTTTGTCTATGGTGCCAAACCAGACATTATCCATTGAACATAAAAAGACAAAGGGGTACCCTTAATCAAGTCTCATCCTCTCTGTTGAGAGAAGTGGCTCATTTGCTATGTGAAGTTCCCTTAGTGGCGTCAGCATTGCTTTCACTCCTTTTGATGTGATGTCAAAACTTTCTTAATATAGTGGTCTTGGATTCGGGTGAATTTTTATCCTGTTGGATCAGCTCAAGATCATCTGAAAATATCCAGAGAGAGCTGACAAAGTCCAGACTAATCGCAGGTAGCTCCACCATTTACAGCTGTGTTCCTGGACTCTAATGGAAATCAATTGATTAAAACAAGCAAAATACTCCCTTCCATGTGTGTATGTTTAGTCTACATGACTAAAAGGTGCAGCAGAAAGAATCAGTGAATCAGCCACTCTCATCGCTGCAGTTCTTTTATCAATCCAGATGATAAAGCCTCTGCCTTTCAGGATATTTTTACAGGGGTTCCTTTCCTTTGCTTTCCCATTAGAGAATCATGTATATGTGTTTAGGATGTCAGTAAAACTAAGTAAAAATGTTTATTTTAATGAATTATATGTGAACATCAGAGTTAACTATATTATCATAATTCTTGCAATTTTCTTTGCTTTGTCAGGCAATCTTTCAGAAAAATTACATATGTGCAGAGTATCCTGAGAAAAGTTTTCAAAAAGCTTTGTGCTTAAATCACCCTTGCAGGAAAACCTTCTTGAGAAGAACCTAGCAAAGTATAAACATGACTGAGAATGGCAGGAAAACATTCACCATGCTTTCAGTCCAAGGACCTGGCTTTCCACTCACTCCCCAGCAATGTGTTTTAAGCAACTAGCTTAGCTTCCCTGTGCTTGCTTACTTCTAAATTATACTGATGTGTTAGTTACCCAGAGGATAACACTTATTTGCTGGGGAACAAATGTATGGGATAATGTATGATGGCCCATTTTCAAAATAATTACAGAACAACGCAGGACACATCACAGCAGGGTGTCTTGTAAAATATAGACATTAAAGCATTTTTAATTGGATCTATATGGACATAAAGTAAATTCATATAGATATAGACAGCCAATATTTTACACCACTTATGTTAAGAACAGTTTTAAAAGGTTTGTAGAACTTCACAATTATAACAAGATCAATAACGATGCATTCTTTACCTAACTGAGTGTCAGCACACATTCCTCTCAGCCGTGTGACTTGCAGGTGTCACTCACTTTTTCCAGCTGAGGAAACTCAGGTTTGGGAGATGAACTGCCTTACGAATTGTGCAGTAGACAATCTAAAATGAAATGTTGTTTTACTTAGCTCAAACTGTGTTGATCTGGTGGTTTTCTTCCCCTAGAGTACCTTCCATTAATTTCTTCAGTTTAACTATGATGGGCCTCCTGCAGGTAAAGAAAGAGAATCTCCACTAGTTCCAAAGTTCTCTGGATTCTTTTAGGAACTCACATAATGTGTCAGAGGCATGTTTTCACTCAGTAACATAAACCGAACTTCTGTGGGGTTTGTGCTTCAACAAATGGCAGAATAATGGTACTGAGTTTTATGGCTCTACTTTGTCATGTTCCTCCCCCATCTGATCTCAGAGTAACCACAAAACAAAGACATATTTATGTCCCACTGAAAATCTGCTTGCTAGCCATCCGACTACACCAGTGGGTTAAAAAGGAAAGTGATTTGTTTGTTTATGGAACCTCTAGGTAAGATTTAGGTCACCTATGTGGGTGCAGCCCCTGATATTTCCACCAAAAGACTTCCTTAACCTGGTGGTATTTCTTTGAGGCATCTGGGTAGGGAAGGCAGATGCTCTCACTGCTCTTTGTCTCTTCCATCATCAGCATATTCTGTGCTCTGACACTGTCTATCCCTGTGACTTACTCCTAGATGTCTATAATAAAGTGGTAAGGTTCCTGGGTGATTTCCCTGAACAGTTTGGCCAACTTATAACTAATTCAGAATTATTTACTTTTTAGCATGGAGACAAAGAACTCAATGACGCATTGGATGAACTCTCTGACAGTCTTGGGCAAAGACAGCCTGACCCAGATGAGAACAAACCAGTAGATGATAAAGTAAAGGTAAAAGATATTTTCACACCCCACCCCCACAGACTCTGGCATTGTCTGGAGGTGGTTAGCAGCTGGGCCATTTCATCTAATTTTCCTGTTTTTTGGTGTAGGTTGTATTTTTTCTCACTGAAAATTATATTTTCAGTGCACATTGCATAACAGGAAACATTCCTGTTTCCAAATTTAATTTTAAAATGAAAGCACAGCTATGTTTTAAGGTTTTTCTCTTCCAATATTTTTTCCTGGTCTTATTTGGGAATAACAGCATATTACTCAAAGGCATATACTTGTTGAGTGGCTACACTTTGTATTTGTAATGGCAGAGATCACACACAGCACAGGTTTCCCCTGCACCTCTTTTGTAAGCATAACTGAATCTGAATACAAACTGTATATAAAAATTATACTCTGTAGAGATATGTCTAGATGGTCACAATAAACTAACTGAACTATATTCAATGTGTATAAACATTTATATTTAGAATACAATATTTAACAAGCCATTTCAACTGACTTGATCATATTTTAGAATCAAAAAATAGCTGGCGTTAGCTCAATAGGTAAAGTGCTTGCCACACAAGCCTTACAGCGTGAGTTCAAATCCTTAGTCATTTAGTGTGATTGTCTATAATTCAAGCCCATACACAGAGATCAAAGGCACAGAGAGTAGAGCTGTCTGTCAGAAGCTAGTAGGCCACTTAGCCTGGCATATGCATAGCAAAACAATAGACCCTATATCAAACAAAGTGGAAATTGAGGAATGACATTCAAGATTGTTCTTCAACCTCTATATGCATGCTATGGCATGCACATGCCTGTGCACACACACATGCATGCACACACACACACAAACACACACACAAATCATACACACAAAAATAATAAAATGAAATTATAAAGGATGTAACTTTCTAAGCATCTGAAAGAAACAATGTCCCAAAGACAGGACATTATCATTTGCATTCTCTCATCATTGTATGAATATTGAGATTAACTTTACCTATATTTTAAAAACTATATTGTAATGTTGCAAAGAGATTAATCTGTACTTGAAAAAAATCTGTGATAGAGACCAGGGGATGTCATAGGTAGGGGTTGTCAGTGTTCGGGTATCTATACTGGCCTGCTCTTGGGTTTTTGACAAAATAAATCCTTATCTACAGCCACTGAGAACACTGTTCCCTTTTAAAGGGCGAGCCTTACCCACTTCCTGTCTCTTTCTCTCCCTTTCTGTCTCTCTCTTCTTCCACTCTTGTCCACAGGCACTGGTCTCTGCCACCCTCTCTGCCCCTTCTCTCTCCTCTTCCAATAAATGTGCTATGTGAGCCTTGTTGCAAGGCATGACTTCTCCTCATGGCATTTTTAAATATATTACAACGTTGGTTTCCTGACCAGGAATTGAACCCGTAGCACGGCAATGATAGTAATAAGTCCTAGCCACTAGACCACTGATATGGGCATATTCACATTTTCAGATGCTCTTGCTTACTGTCCATTTTGTTGCTTTGTTTAAGTTTTGCTTCAAGAAAATACAATAGCTGTAGTGTCTGCACTTTGAATTGTGAAGAAAGAAATGAACATCCTTTTTTTCCTCTTCAATGTTTATAGGAAAAAATTAAAGCAGAACATAAAGAGAAACTGGGAGAAAGAGACGACACCATCCCACCTGAGTATCGGCATCTTCTGGACAATGATGGGCAGGTAGATTAAGGCGCACAGTCTAGATCATGCCGCTGCTCTCACTTCTCTGGAAGTGAATGAAGGCTTCACTCTTACAGCGCATAAAAACACATTATGACAGTACTTTCACTGTCTCTTCAGAGGTGATAAGCAGGGTTTCTACCCTCTGCTATATCTTCTTAAAATAGTCCTATTACTCATGTTCTGAGCCCTGATGTTGAGTTGTACATCTTGGCTCTTGATAATGATTCCAAGAATATATAGTTAAGAGTTAATTTTTCAAGAATGGCCTCTAAAAATGACCGAAGCAATGAGATGTCATAGGAAGCAGTCTGTGTGTAAAGGAACCAGAGGAGGGGCAGTGGTGAACAAACTGAGAGGGCAAATAAACAAGACTCCCCCATCTTTGTCCTCTCTTTTCCCACAGGATCTCTAAACTTTTGTTTCTTTAAGCCAATTTGACTGCCACTCCTTTTCTGTTTGGGGACGGATGAATCATCCTTCTCAGGCCTGCTCATTAAATGGAGCAAGGGAGTCCAGGTGCCATCTGTATGCTCTGAAATCTCAGTGGGGAAGCCCCTCCTAGACCAAAGTCTCAGTGTTTGCTGGAATAGGACTCCTTCATTTTGCTTGCATTAAGTATTCCTGAAAATTCTGCATCCTGCTCTCATCCACCCTCCCCAGTGTTGATCTTGCCATCATTGGAAGTGTTTCATTTAGTGCCTTGCTTTACGATGGATAAAAGCCCTATATGTTAGTGGTACTTATAATCCTGTCTGAAAATAATCTTCAGATCTTTGAAAATACAATGAGCATCAGGCTTGGCGCAGACCTTTAGTCAGGTATTTGGAAGGCTGAAGAAGAAGCATTAGAAGTTCAAGACAAGCCAAGGCAATTTAGTGTTTTTTAAAAAAGCAAAACAACAGCAATAAACAATAATAAAAACAAAACAGGGCAAGGCATGTAGCTCATATAGCTCAAGTGGATATAAATTTTATTATCTGTTGGCAAACAATTTCTACATAATCTCTGTGCCACTTCCAGAATCAAATCCTTGTATCCCCGTGGTTACTGAAAGGGCTGTGAAGGTAAAGATCTGGGAACGATCTGGGTTAGGTGCTAAGGTTATCAATTCTGTACAGTCCTTGAATTCTAAACATACTGTCTATGACTAAGGGAGCCTGTACAAAGAGATTGTGGTTAACCGAAAGTCTTCCTTATTTTTAAGGACAAACCAGAGAAGCCACCTACAAAGAAATCAAAGGTAATACCATGATGTGTACTTTCATTGTTTTTCATATAGGTGTGGCCCTTTTTTAAGCTTTAAAGAAGATAAACATTGTTAAATATTTTTGTCCTGTGACAATGTGTGCAGATAGGCCTATATTACTAACTCCAATTTATTTCTCACAAGAGCCATTTAAAAATAGTACCAGCTTTCTGGGTGAGGAAACTTGTAGTAAAGAGTGTAAGATGGACCTAGCATAGTGGTACATGCTTATAATCCCAACTCTGGATAAGGGACATGGAAAAATAAGAGGTTCGCGGTGAGTTTAAGATTGGCTCAGCCTACACGAGACTGTCCCCCTCACTGCCTCTAGGAAAAAAGAATAGGAGAAAATGAAGATGCTTAGATTTTCATGCTTCATGTCCCCTTTATGTAGTGTAGTGTTTTAGGGAAATAAACACCAGTAAGCTTCTCTTTTTAAACACGTTTTCATGTTAAGAACATGAGATGACAATCTCTATGTGGCTCTACTAATACCCTAGAAGCCTGCTCATGACCAGGACCCCATTGATGCCCTCTCTGAAGATTTGGATAGCTGCCCCTCAACTGCAGAGACCTCACAGAATACAGCAAAGGTACTGTGTCTTTTCATACTGATTTCTTTGAAATACACATGAGCATGTATGTATACATCTATGTGATTTTTACAGTGTATAGTTAATAGACTAATCTTATAGGCACCCTTAAGGAAAAGTTATAATTCTACAGCCCACAGCATTATTATTTGATGTATTTCCTTGTCTTGTCAGTAAATATTTTTACAAAAGTGTCTTCATGATGTGTTTATTCCACATAGTTTAATAGCATTTCATCAGGGTTCTGCGTGTGGCCTATAACCTGCAAAGCCATCATTTTTGTTTGCCACATAATTTTGTGAGTGCACAGACAGTAAGTCTCATTTCTCATGAGAGTCTTTGATCCCCTAGACTCTCTTCTGCTCATTTATTCTCTGGAGTTTCCTCCTGTTGCTTATGGTGCAGCTGGCTGACTCCAGCTCTGCTGGACCACTTCTGGCCTTTGTCCCATCTCAAACCATCCTGGTAGCCTTTGCACACACTCTTCCTGCATGTGGTCACCTGGCACCAGATGCCTATTTCTCAATGAGATGGATACTATTTATAGTAGTTGGATCTTCTATTTCTGTGCCCAAATTAGCAGAAGGCTGATATTTAATAAGTGCTCAGAACATGTAATTTGAACTGAATCTTTCTAAACTGTAGTGATATTTTATTTGTATTTTAATAAATGAAGCTTGCCTGAAGTTCAGAGAGTAAAACAGCCACGCTGATCAGCCTCACAAACCAGGCAGTGGTGACACACACCTTTAATCCCAGCATTCAAGAAGCAGAGACAGGTGAATCTCTGTGAGTTCGAGGTCTGCTGGTATACAGATCAAATTCCCGAACAGGCTCCAAAGCTACAGAGAAACCCTGTGTCTGAAAACAAAAACAAAGAAACAAAAACAAAATCAGAGCTCTTCTTTACTTACGTTGACTTTTATGTGCCATGAAGGAAAACAAAAATCCCAAACCCCTGTTTTCAGTGTTAGCAGAGAAATGAATCTAACCATAGACACTGTTACATTTGAAAGCTGTACAGCCTTCATGCAAAAACATAGGACATTTATCAAAGAAGAGGAAACAGGAAAGAATAGATTGGAACAGAGTGGAGAAAAAGAAGGGGATGAGATGAAATGAATGGGAAAATAAGGTGAAGGGAGACAAGGGGAAAAGAGGAAAGGAAATGAGACAGAAAAATCAGTTGGGTGTTTCCAGAAGAGAGAAGCAGGAGGCTGAGAGAGTCGTAAATCAAATCAGCTGGTGTAGAGGACATGATCATGAGTTAGGTTTAATGCAGCCAAAACAGCAGCAAACAGACTGCAACATCAACCCTTCCTGTTGTGTGATTTATGAGATGTGCTTTATAGATTAAGTGCACCACAACCGTTGAATTATACATTTGTTTTTATCTTATTAACATATATTAATGGGAGAAAACAATGGGTTTTCTGCCTGGCTCTGATTTTTTTTAACCTCTGGTTTTCTAAAAGAAAATTGTGGAGATACATTTGAACATGGGTTCACATGAAATGATGGGATATATTAAACACCAGAGTAACCCACAGTTCTCTCTTAGTAGCCTTTTTTATGTCCTGACTAAAATATGGGTATAGTCACTGTTATTTTAAAGATTAGTACCAAGCTACTCATTTTTATTCAGTTAAGTTGGGGGTGTACAGGCTGTTAACAGGAGTAGCCTGGATTCATCTAATGATCCAATGTCTCCGTGGACTGATGATGGCAGTAGTCTCATTACACTTCCATTGTTTTAGGAGAAGAGCAAGAAGACGGGTTCAAGTTCCAAAGCACCCAAGAATGGAGTGAAAACAAAGAACTCGTCCAAGGTAAACATGGCCATAAATATATCAGTATTTGTTTAAAAATTGCAAAGAAGTAATATTTATCTGTTAGCTAAAGCTTGATGTTGTAAGCTATTTAGAGAGAAAAACACTTAAGTAATAACTATCCCCATGCCTTACTAAAAAGATAGATGGATGGATGGATGGATGGATGACGGACAGACAGAGAAGTAAATAAAAAATCCATCTCTTGGGGGCTGGAGCAATGACTGAGCTCTTAAAAGCACTGACTGTTTCTGGGGATCTGTATTTGGTTCTCAACACCCACATGTAACTCACAACCATCTATAATTCCTGTTCCAGGGAATAGAATGTTGTTCTAGCCTCTGGGGGCACCAGGCATGCATGAGGTACACAGTCATACATGCAGGCAAAATACCAGTACACATAATTTTTTAAAAAAAATTTCAAAAAGTTATCTAAGTTGAAACTTTAAAGATAGAAATATATATTGTATATGTATGTATATATAATGTTTTTAAGTAACTTGTGCTTTGAAAATATGAATGAAATGTGTCCTTCAGACAGTTCAAACAGCATGTGGCTTGCTGTTATTACTGCACCACCAGAGCAAGTGATTTACATAGATTTTATAACATGAAGATTATTCTAGTTTGATTTCAGGTACTATAATATAACACCAGGACCAAAAAGTACCTTAATGGAAAAAAGAATTTGTTTGGCTTATACTTCCAGATCACAATCAGTCATTGAGAAAAATCAGGGCTGGAGAGGTGGCTCAGAGGTTAAGAGCACTGCCTGCTCTTCCAGAGGTCCTGAGTTCAATTCCCAGCAACCACATGGTGGCTCACAACCATCTGTACTGAGGTCTGGCGCCCTCCTCTGGCGTGTGGGCATACATTGAGGCAGAATGTTGTATACATAATAAATAAATAAATCTTTAAAAAAAAAGAGAGAGAAAAAAATCAGGAACTCAAGCAGAAACCATGGATATAAGGTTACTTGGTAGCTCTTTCCCAGACTCCTCCTGAGCCAGGCTCACTTTTCCAGGACTAATGCTGCTTACTGTGGGCTCAGCCCTCTTATATCAATTGCAAGATCGTCCTCTACTGACATGCTCACAGAGCAGTCTGGACTGAACAATCTCTCAGCTGAGAATCCCTTCTCAGGTGCCTCTAGGATGTTAAGTTGACAGAGCTCTAACTAGGACACAGGTAATTTGTAAAGTTAGGGAAGACATTAGAGTTTTCATAGTATTAATTGGATGGTGTTTGGGAGGGAGATTAGTAAATAATAAGACAATATATATAATGACCAGCATCATGTCACTGTATACTTGAGATAGTTAAGTTGCAAAGAGAAAATCCATCTTATGATCGATTATCATATTGCCTTTGTTCCTCTCATGAGGCAGTGCTTTAAAATAGGAATCTGTTGCGGGGTAAAATGCTCACCTCATGAGTCAGGAAACACAGAAGAGATGGGATACCACAACCCTGAGTGAGATATGGTCACACCCCCAATGGCTGGCCTAAGTAAAAGTCGTTTTACACATGGTTCTTAAGGGGCATTTAAGTTCCAATTCATATAGCAGTACCTAACTTTCTGTGTTGTACAAAGTAGGATGAGAACTAATGGGTGGAAGTTATAGGTTTAAGCTAAGTGTTGAGAATGGGGCATTTGTAGCATCATGGTTGCACATTTCCTATCACTAAAATTTCTCAAGCTGGAGTCAGATGGATATTGGTTCAGACAATTTTTAAGTTCCTTCCAATTCTATGTATGTCTTATTTTAAATAACTACAATCTTTATTTGGACCATAATGAAAAATAAAAGACCCTAATAGACCAGTTACTCTTTTCTTTTTGAGATTATAATTAAATCAGTGTGCCCTTCCCAGTCCTTCCTCCAAACTCTCCAATATATCCTCCCTCGCTCTCTTCCAAATTCATGGTCTCTTTTTTTCATTGATTCATCAGCACATCTTATGAACAAGCTAATGAAGTCTTTATGTAACTGATTTCATCACAGGATACAAGAATATTATGTCTCAGGTTAAATTATTAATCCCTTATCTTTTAATTATGATTACAAAAATGCCTGACCAACCCATTTACGAAAACCTACACAGTAGAGATGAGTTAGCTAGCCCCTTCCCAATGCAGAAAAAGATGGGGTCATGGTGGGATGGTGAAACACTGTCCTAATTCCAGAAACACTTCTGCACTTGAAAGTTTTCTTGTACAGACAATAAAAAGTAAATAAAAAGTTTAAAGTGGAAAATTTAGGATGATTTAAGGCTGCTTATAGCTTATAACTAAAACCTGAGTGGAAAGGACAGAGTCTGTTTGTGTCAAATGAAGAAAAACATAAACTAGGCTATTTTATCCCCAGCTCTCACCCCACCCTCTTTACTACCTGTTTGTTTAATCCTTAGGAGCCCCCCCCTTTTTTTTTCATTAAACTTTCCTGGTGAAGCAGTGGTTTAGCACTGATTTAGAAATGAAAGCACTGACTCTAGCTTTGCTTCCCCCTTAGAAGACAGAAGAAGCATCCAGTCCAAAGGCTGACAAAAAGGAAAGTTAAAGTTACACATTTGGTAAGTTGAGTTTTTATTGTAAATAGAAATAAATGTACATTCTAGCAGCTTGCATTATGGGAAGAGACATGACGTTTATCTCTTGAGCATTTCATACTTGTTGTGGCCTACTCTCAGGAAATGGTGCAAAGTTCAAAGCAATCCCTTCTCTAAAAGGCACTAAAGGGTTTATTGTGCTACTAGAATTTAAAAACAAAATTTATGTGATTAAGAGCTCTTTAAGAGCTGAGTAGTGGTGGCACACACCTTTAATTCCACCACTCAGGAGATGAAAGATGGTGGATCTTTGTAAGTTCATGGTCAGCATGGTCTACAGAGTGAGTTCCAGGACAGCCAGGGCTACACATAGAAGCCTGTGTTGGGAAACCAAAAATGAAAAACAAAAACAAAACAAAAAACCTTTTATAGTACTCAGACTTTTAAAGAAAATCATATATCAGAACCTAGTCTTTGAAATCTAGATAATTGTACAGATTTTTGTTGCAAAGCAAATTAATGTATTACAATTTGTAGCAAAATGGCATTAATTGGTTTCTGAAATAACAATCATGCTGAGTGGTAGAAACCATAGAGTTTGGGAACCGTAGTTTAACCTTTTAACTTTGTTAATTTCGAGAACAATGATTGATTCTGACCTATCCTTCAATAGATGGGGTCTGGCCTTTTTATAAGCCATAAATGAAACTGCTTACCCAACAAAGCCAAAAAAGAAAAAGAAAAAGAAAGAAAGGAAGGAAAGAAGGAAGGAAGGAAGGAAGGAAGGAAGGAAGGAAGGAAGGAAGGAAGGAAGGAAGGAAAGAAAGAGAAAGAAATAGAAAATGAAATGGGGTTGGCATGGTGGCTGAGCAGGTAAAGACGCTTGGCACCAAGCCTGACCACCCAAGTTCCATCCTTGGGACCCACGTGGTAGATCTACAAAAGTCACCTTCTAACTTCACTTTCACACTGAGGCATAAACTCCCAAATGAATGTGAAGTGGGAACCTTTTAAAAGAAAAGTGTGGGTTAAATGGGCTGCGCTTTCCCCACGATCCATGTCCTGTCTGTAGAGGAGCCAGTGCACACCACCTCGAGCTGCTGCGCATCTCAGGTAAATGAGGATTTTACATTAAGAAACTAATCGTATTTCCTTGTATTTTCAGGGTATCTGAATAAAAATTTTTCAACTGGTGGATGGTGATTTGAAGAACAAAGGCTTTGGTGACAGTTTTTTTGGGTGGCTTCTAGACAGTGATATTTGTGATGTCTTTGGACATCTTAAACACTGGTTTGTTATTATTTTTCAAAAAGAAAATGAATTTCTCTGGTTCACCTGTGTTGCTATATCAGTATGGATAAACTTCAAAGATTTTTAATTACTTTTAGGTGGGAGAAGGAAGCTTTATATTTGTAAGAAACATATTTCATAGTTTCTTAAGACACCAAAAAAAAAAAAAACAGAAAACCTTTGCAAACTTTTGCACATTATACGTTCAGTGCCTGTAAATCTCATTATTATTTTTGGTTTGCACTTAATTTTTTTAGCATTTGAAAAATAATGCTCTCATCTTTTGTCAGTATTCTGATTTCTTATTACCTCTTTTTCTCTTGGGCTTTTGAACTGTATTTGATGTATCTTTGGGTTAATATAAAATATTGTATATTGGGCACATAACTCCTTTGGCGCTGCTAGTAATAAATTAATGATAGATAACCTGGGTAAACCAGGGAACAACAATCTTTCGTACCTGATCTCTCCTTTACTAGGAATGAGGACAGAAGAGACTTGAGACAGGCAGGACACACTAAGACTTGAATTAGTCAGCAGAAGAGCAAAGCACAGGCTAGTGATGTCAGTGCACAGCAAGTTTCAGCAATAAAGTTGTGATTCTTAGAATACTCATGGGGTTTGAACTATATTGGTTTACCATAGCATTAAACTGTGGTTCCACTATCTACATGAACCCCAGATTGCAATCATTTGCTTAGAGACATTTGCCACATTGTCTATATGTGGCTTTATAGGAGTCAAATTTATGAAACACAAAAATGGATTTCTTTAAAAATAATGTACACACACACAGTATGTATATGATGAAATTGAAAATCTGCTTCTATATCAAAGTAGGCTAAGGTGTCCTAACATCTTTGAATAGTATCTCAGAGTTTTCTGAGTACTGCAGTAGTGGCAATGATGGAATTTTGATAAAAAAAAAAATCCATCTATATTTCTTGGCATTGAAGGCTGGAAAAGATGTCAGGTATATATAAACCAGACTTCAACCTTCTTGTTTCCAAAGATAACAGCCTTTGATACAAATGAAAAGATTTTTTTAGGATTTAATTAACTTTAATAAACATAACTAACATCACCAGTAATTCCTGGGGGGCGGGGGAGCAGGTAAGACCAAGCAAAAGTAATAATACTTAAATTGGAAGTGATATTTGTAACTGTCTCCAAAAGTACAAATCATCCATGCACCATTTAGATATCAAATTCGACCCACACAAGTGTTTAATTCCTAGTTCTATAAAAAGGGTGGTCACTGTTCTGTTTTCAAGGCACTGACAAGAAGAGAATATACTGCCTGAGAGATTTGAACCTATTGGTGTCTAATGCTTGACTCTGGGCAGTATAGATGTTTGTTCCTTTTGTTTCTATAAATATGCTGAAACCTTTGACATTGACAAATACACCTTAAAGGCTATGGCTGTAGTATACAAATGTCCATGCACATATAGGAATATTTTTAAATGATGTAACTAAATAACATAAATTTAAGAGTACCTGTAAAATCTCATGTACACTTAAGGTACCTAAAATAGTTTTTTTAATTGGGAATATCCTCAAGAATTGGACACTCACAGTGACTTGCATAAGCCATGGGATCTAAAGAAGTCCTTTTTTATTCTCTTTTACCTTTTATTTTTAAATTCATTTGGTCAAAAGAAAATAATTGCAGCTATTTTCTTTGAAGTAAAGAACAGGTGGATTTTATTACCAAACAGTTATTGAACATGTAACATTTTATCTGTTTAGGAAACGGGATTTTCCAAAAGTGAAAGTGACCAAATCAGTATTTGTGTTTCTTTAGGCAAGATATAAAATGCAATTAAAGGAAAATATTTTACAGGAAAGTCTTGGCTGTATGTTCTTTTTTCAATGTACTCTGTGGAAAAATTAATAGTGGATTATTTTTATTTTATTCTCAAGCCTTCATAGGCAGTCAATATAAAAAATAGAATTGTAAACACATTTGTTGTGGTTTGGATATGAAGTGTCCCTTCAGGAGACTCACATGTTGAAGTCTTGGTTCCCAGTTGGCAATAGTAAAAGAGGGGACTGGATCACGAGGGCTCAGCTCCTTAGTAGGTTAATCCATTTGCAGTCACCAATTTATTTATGACTTCATACTTGAATGGGCTATTAGGAGGTAGGTGTTAGTTGGAGGAAATAGGTCTAGTCTGTGGGAGTATGGCTTTGACAGTATGCTGTGATACAGTACTCGGTGTCCCCAGACACCTCTCTGGTCCTTCTATTTTCTGGCCACTAGTGGGTAACCATTCTTCCCTGATAACTGCTATGGTAGCCATAGTATCTCGCCATGGGCCAGTAACAACAGAGCCAGCAAGCCTTAAGCTAAAAACACTGAGACAAAATCTTTTCTCATTTAAGCTGATTACCTCAGACATTTTGTTAGAGCAATGAAAATATAATTGAGCCCCCCCTTGCCCCTAAACTCTCTCTTTTCTGTCATATATTACAGCATTATATTTTGACATCATTCCTATTGGTTATATTCATTTATTCTGTAATTTATGCTATACATCAAAAAATTCTTATATAAGACTTAAAGAATTCTTTTCTTATACTAATATAAGCATGTTATTCTTATTATCCTTTCGTAATGAGTCCTCAGAGATGTATTCGCAATAAGTGCCAATGTGAGTTCTTCAGGAATTTAAAACTATTCCCTACTTAAGGATTAGTCTTTTAGGTATATCTTAAAATGAAGGTATTCTGTCTGTTACCTTATCAAAACTCTGTGATAACTTCTGAAAGTCAAATTCAACAGCTTGGACCCATTCAGGTAAGTTCCTAGTACTTTTAGATAAGGAGTCAATTTTGCCTATCATGGTATTAATCCTATCAATTAATGCCACATACTTCCATACTGATATAACATTCAGAAGGAAACTAAAACCTAATAACAAGTAAATTGAGGTACCTCCATAGGCATATAGGCCACTTGTGATTTCTACCAAAGTGGCAGCAAGAGTCCCATTAAAAAAGAAACCTGCTATTTTACCTGTTAGCCAGCAGATGGTGGTGTTTCCGAGTCGCGACTGGAATCAATGCCCGCCCAGCGTCCATTCTGAGAATACCGACAGCCAGGAAAGGAGTCTAACCGCTGGCTGGAACCAAGAGAGCGAGCAGAGGACTGCCGCTCATTTTTAAAGAGAAATAGACCGTGCCCCAGTGGGCTGGTATTTCAGCGGCTATTGGAAGGCGCTCCTGCAGCATGAAGGGTATTTCCAATACAGACCTGAGTGCACTGTTGTTTTGTTTTGTTTTGTTTTTTCAGAAGTGAGGTTCAAAAGGAAGTATGTGGCTCTCATATTTGACTTACCTAAGGAAGCTTCTAAATGCACATTTTTACAAAAGTTCAAGTAGGGTGTGTAAAAATAACCAGTACTACCATGACAGGTATCACCAGGTTCCTGCTCTTTCCCTTGCCCTGAATGCACAAGGAGGAGGCAATTACCACAGACAAGAAATGGAAAAGGACTGTGTGAGAAAGAAAGCTATCTCAGAAGTAAAACTTCTCCCCCTCCCTCCTGGATTCCAACTCCAAACTCCTAGAGTTGGTCTATCAGTAAAAACCCAGAGGGCAAAGATGCCTGGTTAACTGGAGCCTGCATGGCAACACCCACACAGCAGCCAGGAAGACAGGGTGGACAGTAGATTTAGGGAGAGCAATAGGAGGGCTGGCACACTGCCATTTTCCAGTGAGGCTGATGATCCAAGTATTTGCTACACACGTGCCTCACTACCCACAGTCTTGCAGAGACCTTGACGAATGACTGACACAGAAGCACAGGGCTTTGCGAGCTGTGGGGTGGAAGCATAAAGTATGAAATGAGAAGAAGCCCCCTGGCTTTTCTGTGGCAAGGAACTGGGCACTTGGGTTTACACAGCAGGCCCACATCTTAGCCAGACCCATGGCAGCAACAGACATTGAAGACAAACTTTTCTCAGACATGATCAAGTCAAATGAAATAAGATCTTCAGTGGGAACCAAAACAACCATCTTTAGCTTGAAAATACTCAAATTGAACAAAATTTTGCTGATTATAAATCACAGGAACTTGACAAGAAACAAACTGTCACATTTCCAACTTCTCCTTATGCAGCCATAGCCTTATTTTTTCAAAATTCTTATCCATCCATCGTATGTTTTCCTCAATGGCCTCAATGGCTTGTTGAACACAACGGAGCTGAGAACCATTCTCTTTCAAGGAGCTAAAGAATCCTTTTACCTTGGGAAGAAAAAGTGAATTTTAAAAGCATTAGTTTGTCACATTAAGCGAATGGTTATTTAAGGCCAGTTATAAGAAAAATCAAGCCAGCATTTGGTAATATTCCAAGGGGTCTGGACACGTTTACATATAACTTAAGTTTGAACTACACAAAATGAGCTCATGACACATGATGTCAGCTTTTTCTCCTGTAGCTCTTATTTATTCGCAGTTGCCAGACTTTAAAATGCTTTGCATATACCATTTCACAATGAATGGTTAATTGACTGTGTCCATTTAATATGAATTCTGTTATACAGAGATGCAGAGTTAAGTTTTAAATATGATATCTGAAAGGCAGAATGTGCAAGATGTTTTCTTTGCCGTGGAAAACATTATCAATGATATAAATGCAGTCTTTCTTTTGGGTCTGTCCTATATTACTGCCAACACTATGAGGAATGGGCTCTTAACAGGTTATGGTGGTAAGATTCCCAACTTTGCCAATATTTTGCCAATATCTACATAGAGTTGCCCACACTTCTGGAGAGATAGATAAGAGACTGCAGCACTTTCTTGCATCCCTAGGTATCTCAACTCTTAAGCTCAAATGATATAGACAAGCTGCTTTTACCAATGCACTGAAAATTGTACTATTTCCTTTCACCTTCAAGGTTTCTTAACAATAACCCATAATTTTTCAGTATTATTAATCTCTTATTTGTAGTTAGTAAGCAAGTATAGGCCACTATTTTTTTTGTTATTTAGCATGAATTCCAGACAGCTAATTCCTCAAAAACCTATATCATAATACCATGTTATGAGTTCTCCAATAGCAGGTAGGAGAAAGTGTGACTTTTAGAAAGATCAAGTTCCAGTGAGAAATGATGCAGAATTGTTTTAAAATTACTTGGGAGTCCAGTTTCTGGGGAAGAGAAGAGACACTCCCTTCTCTGTGCCATTCCCTGTGCTTC